CCTTTTCCGAAATCATCAAACTGCTAAGTAATTGAATTCCACTATATATATAGCTCTTCTCTGATTTTTAAAGCGTTGTTGTGATCTTCCGGGGAGTGCAATGATTTTAGTTTTATCAATGTTCAGCATAAGGCCCAAAGCCTCATGTGCCCAGATAATATATGTGTTCAACATTTCTGGTAATTGCTGTAACGTTTTTTAGAGCGCAGTCATCAGCGTATTGAAGTTCTTGATGTGATGAATATTGTTTATATTCTTGTTTTTTTGCATTTTAGAACATGCAAAATCTTTTATGAAGAAATCATTTTCTCAAAATGTTAATAATAAATTTCCAACCTTAATTATTTCCAACCAATATTTCAATAATTCGAAACTCCCTGTACATAAACACACCCATTATCACAAATTGATCACACATTTGCAATAATGCCCCTGAGAACTATGTATAGCATAACCTAAAATCGGTTATCAATCACGGCGTACAGGATGACATTTCATTTAATAACGCTATCATGAAACCGCGCGATTGGATTTTTGGTCGGGCGCGGAAAAATTCGCTCTCTTCGGAATAACGCGATCCACGTACGTCAGGATGACGATGAAGAATGTACGGTGAATTTACAGTTTTCTTTTTACTCGGTAATTATATAAACTTAATGTATTTTTCTTAGAGTTTTAGAAAAAGCTTTCGTGATGGTGTGTTTTAGCACAATGCCAGGGTAGCGTAAACTTTATTGAAAGGGTATAGCCGTATTAATATGAGAAATCTGTCCCCGCGGCTTTTTTGACTCACACTCAAGGGATCGATTTGGTATCGAATCAAAATAATTCACTTAAATTTTTAGCTCTTTAACAGCGCTTTCAGATGGAACGAACCGTCCGCCAGTGTCCATGAGAGTTTAAGTGAAGAATTTCACATGGGTCGCGTATGCTCGAAAAACATCCGGCCGGACGCATCGGGGGTATGGCGCCTTGCGACTTTGCTGATAAAATGAGGAAAACATTCTTGGTTTCCACTAATTTGCAAATCAGTGATATAATAATGCGAGGTGTAAACCGCGATGGAATCGTTGAGTACAAAGCGATCGCATTAGTGCCATTAGTAGTATAACACAATTTGGCATTAGTAGCGACTTCAGTGGTATGGGCATTGCTCGCGGATAAGTCGTAGCATTAGTAGTATTAGTTGCGATATTACTACTGGTATAAGTGCATTGTCCGTGGAAACACTGGAACAGTGATTTTTTCTTCTTTTTTAGAATCGACGAATTATTTTATTTTGTTCATATTATTTCCTCTTTTAATTGAAATTAGCAATAATTAAAAAATAATTTCGATCAACTATCTGTGTCAAATACCCCACTGTGGGACGGTCCGCTCCATCTGAAAGGAGCCAATGAGTTTTTCGAGATTAAAAAGAACAGTTTTTTCAATTTATAGTAAAATTCGTGTCTGACGATGATTTTTTTAACGAGAAGTCTACATTGTGGGCCGACATGATCGATTCCCACATGAGGCCGCAGAAGAAATTAAAATTATTTTTTTATCCTTGTGTTGTCACTCACTAAATCAGTGAAAAATTTCAGCCTTATACTTACACTTGAATTTTACATTTTTTTCAAGTGGTGGAACAGTATGAATAAATTAAAACTCCAGAAAATTCTTAGAAAAAATGAGTTTTTAATTGTTTTCATATTGTTCCACCCTTTCAAAAAATTCCAAAAAATTCTGAGTGTAAAGGAGTATAAGACATTTTCTGACGATTTTTAGTGAGTGACGTGTATATTCCACAAAGGATAAAATGAAGATTTTAATTTTCTTTCCTCTGCTAAAAATCGGCTTTTCGTTAAAGAATCATGATCATATTATTTTTTCATGTCTCAGACTTCTAAGAACTAGAAAAAAAATCATCATTAATTAATTCCTGAATTTTACTATAAATAAAAATAAAATTGAAAAAACAGTTTTTTTTTTGAAAAAAAAAAAAAAAAAAAAAAAAAGACCTAAAAATTTAGGTGAATTATTTTGTTTCGACACCAAATCGATCCCCTGAGTGTGAGTCAAAAAGCAAATTTAGATTTAATAATGATTATTATGAATTTCAGTTTAAATTTAATAGGATTGTTTCTATTTAAGAAAATCTAGTTCATATTTTAGGTAAATTTGTAAATGTTCTTAAAAAATGTAAGTCTAAAGTTCTATACACAGAGGTCAGTCACGTTTCAACTCCATTAAGAGTCTCAATTACGGAATGTTCACACACGTCCGGTTTCGTCACAGATTTTATCGCCAATCTCGTTTTAGTATCCAAATCACGTGTATCACATACTATCTCTTTCTTTCACATTGGTCTTCCAGTCACTTCGGTCTAAAGAGTACCAGTAGTCGAAAATAATTTAAACATATCTCATAATTATTCTTGTTGGATTAGTAATGAGTTATAATGTAATGATATGAACAATATTTTATGATTTTGTTCAAGTTGGGCAACGCCCTTTCACAGATATTGTCACAGACTGACCTGTGTGAATATACCTTTAAAGTCACTTTGGACACCAAAACTAGTGATACAAATATCGTACTTGCAGTTATTTCACAACATACTTGTAATGCGAAAAACCTGTATATATCATCTAGAAATCATGCAAAATTCTTCTTTAAGGTGTTCTATACTTACGTTATATTAAATAATAATAATTATAAATTTTTTTTTTTTTTTTTTTTTTTTTAAAAGAAAAATAACAATTATGGATGGAAGATTTCAATCTTATATTATAAAAAAAAAAAAAAAAAAAAAAAATATAATATTTTCTAAAAATAAACTAGATTTATTTGTCACATACATACAAACAATAGTCACCTTGTCTGATATAAAAACGACTACATTCATACATTTTAATAGCTAATGTAGAAAATCTACAAGTATAACATTCGTGCTTGTGCACATGCTCATGCCTGTGTCCAGTGATTACGTGCAAGTCTGTTGTGATATAATGACAGTTGGTGCGAATAATAACGCCAAAAAGTAACATCCTTAGCTAATGTCAGTTGATCAAAGATAATATCAAAGTTAAAGACATCAGCACAGAATATTCTTTGAACATCTACTAGCATCTAATGGAGGAACGTACTATCAGTTAGACAAGTATTTAAGCTCAAAGAAATAATTCGGATTTAGAAATCTTTAAATAAAAAAAAAAAAAATTACTAATAAATAAAATAATTTTGTGGGTTTAATAATTTGTTTTTGTTTTGGTACAAGGTAAATAAACTGTACTTTTTATGCATCCAAACACTTTTTATTGGATCATGTATGCATTTGCGAAATTTAATTAAAACATAAACACGAACTATTAACTTTTTGAAGAGTTACTGTGTTGTTTTATTTCGTATATGAATGCAACTAATTTTTAATACATATTACCTAATTTTCAAAACTCCATATCTCATGTTAATCAAAATAAGTTTAATACAAATATGTAAATTTATTTTGTAATATTATCTGTCAAATGGCCAGTGTCTCACATTGTTTGTAATTAACCTATGACTACTGAAAAGGTCCAAATTTATACAGGGTGGCGCTCTCATACGACGCGGAGGCTCCAGTTTATATCACAATAAAACTAAAATAAAAAAAAAAAAAAAGCATTTTATAAAAATATATATATAGTTATAAAGGGTGTCTCCAATAAAGTTACACATCAAAGTTGTTTTTGCAATGTAACACCCAATATATTAATTGATTTTCGATTTTAGGAAAAATAAAGGTGAGTTTTATTAAAAAAGCATATGCCTAAATGTAGGGATTTTGACATATTTCACATTTTAGAAACGAAGAATAAAATTTAAACTAATAACAGCTGTCTAAATTGCAATTTACCCTATTGAAGCAAGACATATCACAGTCACCTAGATATCAAATAATAAAGATCTACTCACGCTAAAATCATAGAAATGAAAATATCTAAGAAAATCTTTGTTTGAGTGGGTAGGCAACCTTAATAGTATTTCGAAGAGTATTACGAATTTCCCATTGAATATCAGCATAATATACTGGGTGTTCTATTTAAACTAAAAGCAGTAACTTGCTTTTTAAAGTGACCAATGTTCAACATTAATTTTGCCTTACCCTGTATAACTTATTTTATTAATAATTTTAACCATATATTAGGTTATACCGGGTAAATTCAAATTTGTGTAGCTTTTATTAAATTTCAAAATGCTCTTTCATTTTTAGAAAAATTTTAAAAGTCAAAAACCTTACATTTCAGTTATATACTTTCCTAATAAAACTCACTTTTATTTTTTTCCTAGAAATCAAAAATTAATTAATATATAGGGTGTTCCAATACAAAAAAACAACTTTTGATGTAACTTTTAAAGACACCCTATAGAACTCTGTATATTTTTAAAAAGTGCTCTGAATTAATCTACATATGCTCACAAAATTTTATTTCAATACAGACTGTCGTTTTCCTTGGAGCCTCCGCGTTGTATGAGAGGCGCCACCCTGTATGTGTACTAGATCCTAAAATAGGTAATTGTGACGAACTGGTATTACGAAAAACCTTGTACGAAAAATAGTATAGTAGTTATTTACAATACAAGTGTGTTTATGAATATGATTAGAACAACGAGTGTGAACGATTAGAACGACGAAGTCGTAGACCAAATCGTTCTAATCACACGAGTGTTGTAATCATGTTTAAACGCAGATGTTATGTACAACGTTTTATCTACAACCGAAAAATAAGAAAATGCTGTTTTAATTTTCGTTTATTAGTCGCCCACCTTTAACTATGATATTTGTCACATAGTTGTTTTTCATTATTATAAAAACTAGTTGTGCTATAGATTCATAACACCACTAGTTGTGTTATGAATCTCATAACGTAACTGAAATACTAAAAATAGTGATGTAAAAACCCTTTTAACAGATCCAAAAGACTTGTCTCACTGAAAACTACATTCCCCGAAAAGAAACTACCGCCGATGCTCACTCAGAATGATGAGGAGGCAGACCAGGATGGCCGCCATCGCGCCCATCGACAGTTTGAGCGTCTGGCCCTCCTGGATGAGTTCGCAGTTCTCGCCCCAGAACCCGTCCATGCAGTGGCAGCGGTAGCGCAGGTCGGGTTCCAGGTTGACGCAGGTGCCGCCGTTGAGGCAGGGCAGGTCGAGGCACTCGTCCTTGTCGGTGCAGTCCTTGGAGTCGGCCGACATGACGCGGCCCTCGCCGCAACTGGACAGGCAAAAACGGGGTTGAAACGGTTTGCGATAATATGGTCGTGTGTGGTATGTATAGAGGTGTTGTCCGGTTGGTTTAAGTCGATAATTGGAATGTTGCGTAAGTGAGAGAACAACTGCGAGGTACATCTAGTTACAATCAAAGAGTCAAATTTGAAGCTTAAGAGTGTCACTAGTTCGAAAAGTAGCAAAAATAAGCTTTCGGCATTTAAACGTGTTTTATGTAAAACTGGCTAGAGATGTTTACCAAATTTATAAGAAATTAAAGATAAACGATTATACTATATTCGTACTGTAGCATATCATATCCCGAGATCCGAGGAATGTTATTTCAAATTCCTGAAATCCCGCATATTTTTGAAAACAAAAGGTGGCTGCCAAAGGTTCTTATTGACGCACTTATGGAAAATACAATAAAATTGACGGTTGAAATCAATCGAGTGACAGGAACTGTTGATACGATATCTGTTGTTGAAAAAGGCAGATGAAATTACGACTTCTTATGCAGTTAAAAATGATACCAGCTTTGATGCTCTTTTGGCACGAATGAAGTGATAATATGAAGATCATCTTTGTTCACCTGCAATAATTTGTTATATTAGTATCTCTTAGTATTTTAGTATCTTACATAATCCTGTGTTATGCTTCGTGTTTGTTCGTTTGGTTATTGTAAATTAAATAAAAAAATGTATATTTTTTAGTTCTTTTAAGTGTTTAATACTTATATGTTATGTTGTTTGTTTTTAGTGGGGAGACGTTTAATTTTTAATGTATTTTTAGTTCAATAAAATATTTGTTAGAAGAGAAATATAAATATAATTCAACGTAATTAAGTTTTTTTCGTGAATAACGGGATCGACAATAATTATAATCCCGGTATTTGAAATGATTCTTTGGGGGGTTTTCCAACATCTGTAGCATGAATCAGCAGATGATCAAAGATTGCGTCCCATGTAAAAGTAAAAGTGTTTTGGTGTATTGTGTGATATAGTGTTTTAATTTTGCGAAAATTGTTCAAATCACTTAGTTATTTTATATACATTCATATATTAGGTAAAATAAAAAATTGTATATTAAAACAAATATGTAGCCAATTCATCAAAGCGCGTTTAAATTTCAGCCTGGCTTACTTATCGCTTTGAGCTTGTCACATATTTCTATTAATTATTTAAAAACGTAAGTAGCATTATGATATTCATTTTAGCATAGATTTTACTTAAAATTCGCATACGATATAAAATAATTAATATTTTTAGTTATTTTTCGTATAGGACCGGGAAACAAATTAAAATACGTCAAAAACAAATGAAGAGTTGAAAGAGCTGATTTTGCTGAATTGATTGAATATGGATTTACGTAAAGGCCATGTTTTCAATTAATATTAAAAAAATAATCAAGCTAAAAATGTTTTCACATATGCTGAACAAATAATATGTTGTGTAAGTTTGATAAAATTAAAATATACAATTTAAAATTAACAAAAAGATACGCACAAATACCACGTAAAACATACATTTTAATTTCAAAAAGTAGGTATTTAGAAAGATTAGTAGCTATGAAATTGATTTTGATTTATCCTTCTTTTATTATTATTAAACTAACTTTACTCATACAGAAAATCGCCTAAACAACAAAAAATAAATACATAATGTTGACATTAAAACACTTTTTACAACTATTCTTTTTCTGTACTGAATTACGAAGATACTATATACAGGGTGGTCCGAAGTGTGTTCCGGAAACTTCGGCAGCATATTCTGTAGATAAAAATAAGTAAAAAAGTTCGTATAAATGTATGTCCTAAAATGAAAGTTATACAACCTGTATCTCCGAAACTAGGCATTTTAGAGCATACATTTATACGAACTTTTTTACTTATTTTTATCTGCAGAATATACTGCCGAAGTTTCCGGAATACAATTCGGACCACCCTGTATATATTTCTGTAATATCAAATCTCTTATTAACATACACATAAACCAAATAGCTGTTATTATGGGACTGAAAATACAACATTATGTAAAGCCAGCAAATCTACTTCCTTTGTTTTAGGGTTCGTCACCCTTCGTATCCTATATCTCGGATGGTTTAAGCATAGTGGTTTAAGTAACTAACTTTGTATACCTAAATTCTTGTAATCCCCAGTGCTTAATGCTAATTTAAACAACAAATTAATGCAAAATATGCAAGAGATATTTGAGAGTATCTACAATTTTAAATGGTGTCAGTCTTTGTTTGTAGTGTCTCTCAGGCATGGAATTAGTCCTGAAAAACTTATGCCAATTAAAATATAAATAATTTAATAATTATTTGTGAACATACGTTAATAGAGAGTTCTGGGTAGCTTAATAATTATAACTTTTCAAACATTGTTAATAACATTGAAAATAATATTCGTATAACTAATTATATATCAAATAATGATGTTAATTAAAAATTATTAATAATTAATTTTCATTATGCTTATATGTCTAAACTCGAGCTATAATAAATTAATATTATTTACGTTATAATATAATAATTAATTCTCTTTTGAAAATTCTATAATATTAAAAAATATTTATTTAAATATTTAACAAGTTATGATAGTGTATTAACTAATTCAGAATAAAAATTCGCATTAATATGTATCTCTAATATAATATATTTTGGTAAATCTACAATTATGAAAAATGTAAAAAAAATCTACACTTATTGTATCGAGTATATGGCATAAGAGGAAAACAGCCTTTTAAAAGCAGACTATGCATACAGGGTGAGTCTTAAATAAGAGCAAATATTTCTAGGGGCAGTATATTTCGATCCCAGAAACACGATTATGAGGTTTTTTTCGCGAACAAAAATTTTTGAAAAATTGGAATTTTTTGAAAAATTTTTTGAAAATTTTTTAGTTATTAGTAATATGGCAAATTAAATTTACAAAAAAGAAAAGCCAGAAAAGATCCAGTGGTTCTCAAAATTTAAGCCAAAAAATATTTTTAAGTAAAATAACTCGGTTACTTTGGACATATTTGAAAAACGGCAAAGAGAAAATATGTTTCGTTTGTCGAGATCTACCAGCTCTGAAAATATTTGCACTTATTTAAGACTGACCCTGTATTTCAAAACAGAGGAAGTTGTTTTTTATCTGATACAGACACACGCATTAAGTGCCTTTTTGATCAATACATCATGATTCCAAAACTCTATCAAATTTTAATCAATTTTCTTTAGATTAACTCAGGATATTTTTATTGTGACATACAGGTATAAGCAATAAATCGCTTTGGTGGCAAAATCGCACTTTAAATAAAAAGCAATAAACAGTTAAGTAAATATGTTAAATTGGCAGTTAAAAATAAATAAAAAAGCAGTTAAAAACTTAATTATTATTATTAAATAAAAATATTACAAATAATGTATTAAAATATTAACAAAACTAAAACTAACACAAAAAATTACTTCTAAGTTAAAAGAAAATTAACCAAAAAACTAAAGAACTACGAAATGTCTACTGAATATGAAATACTATGGCGGTATCAAAATATTTAAAATATGAAGGCTTGAAGTTTTTTTTAACAATTAAACTTAGCGGACTTAAGAACCAATCTGGAAGTTTCACAAACTTTAAATTTTTCAAAATTGCAAGTTTAAGCAATCCAATTATTTCTTTACAAACCCGTTAAACAAAAATAAAATATAATTATAAACTTTAAGGAAAATAAAATTACAAGTGTCTTCAACCTGTATTAATTTTAACAGTTTAAAGGATACAATATTTTTTAAATTTTTCCTTCCTTACAGGCGTTCCGATTTTTTTAATTTCAAATTTATTTGGCTTTACCTTTTCATTTTACAAAGTAATCTCCGGTGTGAGTTATACAATTTGGTCTTAAGGCGGAGACTGACTTGAGCCAAGCGTTGTAATGTAACACTTTGTAACATGAGAGAACTGAGCAGCTCGCGAACAACAACGGTAATCCACTCCGACTCTGTCGGTTTTTTAGCGAATCTCTTTGATTGTTACATTACATGTCAGTACAGATTCGGCGAATGTCCGTATAACAATCATATTTCTAGTAGATACAGTGGCTTTAATTGTGGTTAAACGTATTTCTGTTAATTGGCGGTGTAAGAAATATAATAAAGAGATAAAAAGTTTAAATAAACGTCATCATCATCGAAGAAAAACGTATTTTTTGGTTCAGTCTATATATTATATAGTATACTTCAAATTTATTTGTATATGTACATTACTTTCGTTTTTGCTTAGTTCATTTTGAGACCCACTATATTGCTGGTTGTATTTATTAAATATGTATTAATTAAACGTAGCACTCCCAATTTTTAGATCCGACATTTTTAAAGACTGAAAAAAATACTGGAGCACAGCGAGTCGATCTTTCGAAATGAGATTTTCGTGTTTCGACTCCCCATCGAAATGCTCGTGGCGGGCAGCGAATAAGCGTTATGTTACAGCGTTCGGCTCACTTCAATATTTGCCTTTTAGAGTCAAACTTTCAAATAATATGGTACATGTGTACCAGGAATTAAAATTTAATTAATAAAAAACCTTTTGATGATTGATCAAATACACATTATCGAAATTATGTAACTCTTTATAAATTCTGTTGGCCGAAAATAATTAATTTAACTATTTACTTATTTATTCGCGATTAACAAAACTGAATTTCCATTAACAGATTACACCACACACAATATTTCCAGTTCTGTAATTAATTAATCAGATATTATAGAGTGCTCCATGCAATAATTTTAACTTGGCGCATATATGACAATGTAGTAAAATTTATTTTGATTATGCATTATGGAGCCAATATCAAATCAAAATTGGGGTTTTAAAAAAGTGGACTTGCTTAGGTGTCAACGTAATATTTCATTCCTTCTTCATATTTATGTTATTTAAGTTTTTTTTTGATAATTTGTTTGTTTAATGTATATTATACATTTATTAGATATTTAAGGTGCATTTTTGGGTAATTATTTATTATAATTATTGTTATATATATATTTAAACCACCATTAATTATGTAATATTTAATTTGTAGTTTTTGGATTATTTGTTGTTTTTTTTTGTTACTATTACAAATTTTTCCATATAAAAGATGACATTTGTTCCACATTGCATTGAAAAAAAACGGCGTCAGCGATGGCATGAAATGAAGATCGCTGTCATTTTATATGTAAATTTATATGGGAAATGTCATCGATCGTCATTTCCCAGCCAACTGGACGCCGTTTTTTTTCGATCATACGGTATTAAGTTTCTTATTTAAATTTAAGCTTTATTTATAGAATTCGTAATTTTTTGCATATTTACAGAGTGTCCTATTTTTAATTGTAATAGAGAGTTTTTTCGTTTTTGATGGGAAACTTGATTTTGATGTCAATATGACTGCTACTTGTAGAGGGCGCCACCTACATATGTTTTAACTGGTTTGAAGTGTAACAACTTTTCGTCCGTACTTTATAAAACTGATGAGTAAAAAAATATATGTTTACAACGTTTTTTACGTAAGAAAGATCTCTTGGTAAAAATCGCTTCGAGTAATGGTTCGCGAGATATTCGGAATCGAAATTATCAATATCTGTAATCATTGACATAAATTAAACATGTTGACTAAATAGTTATTAGACTGAAATCATAAATTTGAAATATTTTTGTGCCAAATGTTCAACAGAAACTGTTTTATCATAATTTTTTCTAAGAAAAATTTATAATCAATTTAAAAAAATAAAAACTTCATAAATTTTTCATTTGACTTAATTAACTATAAGGGAAATTAAAATAACTTTGGTTGCACATCATAATACGACCACCAGCAAACTCCATAAGACGACGCATGGTGTCATTGATGACGTGCAACCAAAGTTAATTTTAATTTCCCATTTTTTGTCAGTAATGGCATGTATTGACTATTTATATTTTAAATATCTTGAGAATGGTTGCTTGTAGAAATTTTTACCAAGAGACATTTTTTACGTAAAACATGACGAAAATGTATTTTTTTTCTCAGTGGTTTTATACAGTTACGGACGAAAAGTTATTAGTCTTCAGTTAAAATCTTTTTATTCAAAGGTTATGAGACATGTAGGTGACGCCTTCTACAAGTAAGAGTCGTATTAACATCGAACTCAAAATTCTCATGTCAAAAAACACGCAGACACCAATTGTCATCCAAATATCGACTATAGTTCAGAAATTATTTGAAAAAAAAACCGTAATAAAAACGAAACTTCTATACCCTGTATCTCCGAAACGAAGCATTTTAGGACGTAAATGTATACGAACCTTTTTACATGTTTTTATCAGCAGAATATGCTGCTGAAGTTTTCAGAATACAATTCGGACCACCCTGTATACTATGTTGTTGACTATTTCGTGATTTAAAAATGTATAGCCCAGTTGTTTAACGACATTTTCTACTCCCTTCTTAAAAGAAACATCTCCGTCCTTTCAAGTTTTATAAAACCAATTGTTTCGCGCCCTTTTCTCTAAATTGGGCTGGTTCAACTCGTTTAGAAAAATGGCGTGAAATCTAATAAAAACCGCTTTTTGTTACCGCTAGCTCTCTCCACCGTTATTATCAAATCCGATAAAGGTTTAATTTTATACTTTCGAGAAACAGAGGATCCGCTCCTTCGGTTGTTTTATTTAATTACGGGGATGCTTTTCTAGAAATGCCTTTTAAAGTTTTTTTTCTTATTTCTCAATTTCTTCTGGTAGGTATTTCTTTTTCTCTCTGCTCGTCGAAAGCGTGAAAACGCTCCAGGGCAAAAAGTTGAAGAAATATATACAAGAAAATGGCTGGTGATATATTCAGTAGAAAATTTTGCTAACAAATATGCGTTTTGTATCTCTATATATTTTATAAAGTATCTGACTGATAATTTACGCAATTTTCTTTACGGAACTTTAATTTACTTTCTATTTTTTCAGTCCAGAGAAAATGTTGTTGACATATGTATTAACTTTGATTTTCATGCATCCTTTGTCCGACGATACGATGATACGATATTAATTTTATTGGTTGAATTTCAAGACTTCGATTGGTTAGAAAATTACGCAGTTTTTAAATTTATTGCATTTCCATAACGATTTCGCTGTTTTACTTATAGTCTCAATGCTAGCAACGTTTTCTAGAGAGAATTTTAAGAATGCTGGTTCTTTAATATATCTTTTGCTATGCTCTCTTGAACATAGTGCGGTTCACTACTGCATTGCATTCACTACTGCGCATCATATCTGTATTCAACATTTCTTTACTAATGCGTATCACAAATTCGCCCTGTATTTCAGGAACTAAGGAGGCTAGGACACACCTATGTGTAGCATATTTAGTTTCACAAAAAAGTAGCAAAGTAATGTGAAAATCGCATCATTGTATCTCTACTCATAAACGAGAAATCACATAAAATACACCAAAATGGGGTACCCTGTATAGATGTGATGCGCAGTAGTGAACTGAGTAGTGTACCGGCAGCCAGACGGCCCGCACGTTGGTTAGAAGAACACAGGAGAGGCATAGCAAAAGATACATAAACAAGCTTTAATTTCAACTCGATATCTCTACGTGTTCCCGAGATAACGAGTCTTGACAGATAGACAGACAACCAAGTGATCCTAAAAGGGTTCCGTTTTTAAAAGGCGTAAAATCTAATAAAAACCATATTTTGTTATAGCTATTCCCGCCGATATTATCTATTAAGATAAAAGTTTAATTTTATATTTCCAAGAAACAGGATTCGCTTCTTATTTCTCGAAACTGCCATTTAGGGTTTAATTTCTAGCTTTTGGAGTTTTTTCTCATTTACCCAAAAAAAACAACGAAAACGCTCTGGGGAATCGAACGAAAAAATAAAGAATCTTGATAAATCGAAAAAAGAAAGATAATGGAAAACACAAAAGAATGAAAGAAAAACCGAATAAGTGGAGGATAAAAGCGGATTTTGGATGAATTAAACAAAAAATACTCGCTGTTTGCGTTTCCTTGAAAGAAAACCTGGGGGTGTTTGTGTATTATATGATATTGTGTCATATTGACTGTGTTTTTCGTTTTGTTTTCTGTTGTGAATCGTCGAAATCGTGTATTTCTCTTTCTTCAAATACACCTACATACATTTAAAAATGGATGTGTTTGGAAGGATTTCAATAAAAATAACAATTCTCCAAACATTATTGTACCGCTCATAAGGGTTGGCTTATACCAGGTGAGTCCTAAATAAGAGCAAATATTTTCAGGATTTGTAGATCTCGATAAAAGAAGCAGCTCTTTTCCGTTTTTCAAATAAGTCCAAAATAAAAGTTATTCAAATTTGAGAATTACTAAAAAATCTTGATTTATTTTTAAAACTGCCGTTCTAAAAAGTTTTCTAAAATATACAGGAAAATTTAAAAGAAAATGCACGATTTTCAACATCTTTTTTTGCGATAAAAACTCATAGACGTGTTCCTGGGGTCGAAAATATTTGCTAAATAAGTGCAGACTCGCCCTGTAGAAATATATAGAAAATTAATGTTTGATAATATTAATTTAGATATGCAGAGTAATAGAAACGTTTAGTGTTTAAAATCCTTCCAAACTTATACAGTACGTCCCGGATTGTCTTTACAAGAGGAAAAACTTTATTATTATTGACATTTTGAGAAAAATGCCATCCCATTTATACTTTTGCAAATCTCCATACCGTTTTAGAGAAAATTTAAAAAACATGAAAATATAATTTAAGTCCTAAAAATCAAAACGTGTTTCTATGTTTAAAAAATATTCTAATATGAAAAAATCAACCATATTTTCATTTTTTTTAAGTTTCTCTAAAATAGTATGGAAATTTGGAAAATTATAAACGGGATCAACCATTTTAGAAGAAGCAAAAATTTTATAAAAAAATATTTTTTTTTAAAATGTCAATAATAAAGAAGTTTTTTTTTGTTTTTTTTTTCTCTTGTAAAAACAATCCGGGGACATACTGTATACATTAACAAATATTAGACAAGATATTGGCTTTTTTATGAGGAAGTTATTTTTTATGTAAAATTACCTTAAAATATGAATAAAAAATATAAAAATAGATAATGAATACCTTGTCCAGTATTTCTGAAAAAATACTTATAATAATTATGTTTGATACTTTATATAAAAGTAACTACGAACGTCTTATCAATGGCGTCAATCAACTGAATTGATCAAAGCCTGATATCGATTGTATCTTATCATCTTCGATGTAGTACGTAAAGCACAAATAAAATATCATCAGATTGTTATTTTCTTGTTCCATGTTAAACCCCCCCCCCAATATTAATAAAATTTACACATATTAGGTACCAAACGATCGAAAAAAATGGCGTCAAAGACGGCTAGGAAATGACAATCATTGATAATTTTGGCGAGGTCAAGCCCTAGATGTCATTACTTGGTACGTCAGTAGTCGTCTTTATTTTTTAATGAGGCCTACTGCTAGGAGACCTTAAAAATCTTGTAATTTATTTTCATTTGAGTAAAAGTAAATTATTTAAATGGTGGTTGGAAATAGATTTGCGTGTCTGGAAACGTTCTATTTTCTCTATAATTAGCATTAATTTTGGACAACTTTTATGTCAATTTGTAGATAATGACGTCTAGAGAACACCCGTCTTTAACGCCGTTTTTTTTCGATCGTACTTAGTACTTAGAGATCTATATTATATTTGTATAATTACTTTTATATAAAGTATCAATATCAATTAAACAAACTATGCTAACATGGTCTATCAAAAGCATTCAACACTTACGTGCACTCGTAGTCGTTCCACAGATCGACGCATTCAAACGGTTCGGGGCAAATGACGTTTGCGCAGGGCTTGTTCGATGCGCAGCCGCGTTCCAGGTTTCTGGCCATTGTCGCTTGACCCCATTGGGTGCCGTTCATAGCGGGCGGTAGGGGAAGGTGCTTGCCTTCCAGTCGTATGTCATCTAGACAACCTGGAAATAAATTTAAGACAATCAATTTATTTAATTGTGGTGTAAATATAAAATGTAATGTAAAAGGTTAGATACGTTTTTATTTAAATGTAATAACTCCGGACTGGGTAATCAGAATTAAACGAACTAGGGTTCGTTTAAAAGAGCATCCCTTACTCTATGTAATGCCACATAAACAATAATAATAGTTATTTAACAGTGGACGCTATGACGTTACAATTTAACAAACATTGCACATTTTTTCAAAAAAAATAAATGCAATAGTATATGCAATTTTAGCTGATAGTAAAGAGGAAGAAAAGGTCAGCGAAAATATGGTATTCTATATATTATCGATATTAATAGTTATTTTTTATACAATAAACAAATAAATATAAAATAAACAAATAAATAAAGTTGTCTGTTTTGAGTCAATATTTTTTAATTATCTTTCGTGCCGTTTGTTCATTGAATTGGAGCCAGAAAAAGGAATACAAAAATTTTCAAAAATGGAAGCAATTAAAAAACGTGCGAGAAGAAATAAAGTTTTAAACCTATCCTCGCTGTTAAAGTATCATTTAATCTACCCTTGGGGTTAAGGTACTGTTTTATCTACTATTTTTGATAGATATAAGGAAATTTTAACAGTTGTTATGGAAAAAAAATTACTTATTCTTTATTATTGTTGTCATAATCAAGAGGGCTACTGATACCTCTTATAAAAATAAAATAGTTAAGGGCTTATTTATTCGTATTTTTTTTATAGTTTTGCTAATATCTTCGGTTTGAAAAAAGATATGAAGATGCCGTTTTCGCTGACTTTTTAAGCTTTTAATCTTCTTTTGCTATCAGCTAAAATTACATATATACTATTGAATTTAATTATACTATTATTTATAGTACCCCTTTTTGCAAAATTGTTGTATCTATTTATTTATTTTCCATAGCAGTTGCGCCCTCCAGCGGTCATTCTACAAAATTGAAAATAATTTTCAGCAATTTCTCATAGCCTCCTTTGGTTATAAATATTTATTTAAGCAGACTCTATGGCTAAGACTTTCCGAGATACAGACAAGAGCTATTCTTAGTAACATTCGTTCTTATGTATGTATAATATTTCCCCTACATATTATTTTTCGCAGAACATTTAAAAATTTCAACTAACTTTAATTCGTTTGTTTGCCGTGAAGAAAAATATAATTGGATAGATTTACGGACAAAGAAAAGCTGGAAAGACTGTTTGCGAAGTTTTCAAAACTTTAAAATTACAGATAGTAAGTTTCAAGGTGTAATTACTTATCTGGAAACGGTCTAGAAAAAGTTGAAATGTCGCCGTAAAGTTTCCGTAATTGAATTATACAGTTTTTATAGCGGAGGCGTTTTCGGGATTTCATCAGGCGCCTTAAGAACAGGCTTTGTAATTGAAATCGGTTTTTACTTCTTAATACTTTCATGAAATACGTAGAATAAGTTAGAAACTATTTCGTAGGAAAAATGCTTATAAATCAAAAATACAGCAAATAGAAATTAAGACAAACAAAAATAAAGAAACATAGAAGCTATAGGAAAAATGTCACTTTTACTTTTTTTTACATGGCATTTATCCTATAAGCAAGAACTTAGGAATTGCATACCAAAAGTATGTGCTAGGGCCTATTTCAGGAAAATATTTTAACTTCTACAGGGTTGTTAAAAAAGTGTGAGTGGGTCGGGATGAATTTTTTAACAGAATATTATTGTACTCGTGTAATATTATAGACTTTCTTCAATCACTTTGCATAGTTGTAAGATATTATTAAATTTGTTTTGATAATTTCAGAGATCTTTAAAAAAATATTAAAAATATAAGATGTGTCCTGAAATAACAACTATGCGGTACTTACTATAGTTGGGCTGTAATTACTCAGAAATATTAATATTCAAAATTCTCCCCATGCTAAACTTATAATACCGGGTGCGTCTCAAAAGTGGCTCACCCCTATAACTATGTTTTTTTTTGTTTATGCAGTTTTTTTTATATACATTTTTTTTGTCGTTTATACCATTCTGTGTCCTATAACTTAAGATACTGTGATGTAAGCCATACGCTAAATAAATAAATAACTTTTTTATTTTTTTAGTAAAAAAAAAACGAGATTTGATATGTTAGTATATGACATAAATTAGGATGAACTGACGTATTCAATTGTTTTCGGTCACTTTCAGTTTCACCTGAAATGACTACAACTTTTGATTTTTAAATGGCACCCTTGGTATTTTTTTACTTTATTTGATAGAAAATGATACTCTGAATAGAATGACATATCATATGTCAACTTTTGACATTCTCGCTTTTTTGAGCAACTGGCCAGGACAAAACACTAAAAACATTAGACGATCAAATCTATTTTTCCAGGGCTCGTTGATGAAGAATTAGTGTTTTTAACACCTACATACAGTTTCTACATACAGTTATAGGGGTATATACTACTTTTTTTCAAATATGCAATAATTGTTTTGAGTCAAATAAACGGTTTAATTTATTATGGCATTTTTTTTGTTATAAAATTTTCCTGTTTTCTTTAAGTTTTCAGTTTTCAGGTTTCAAATTATATCAGATACGACACAAATTCTTCTCCATATTTATTTCCTCCTGATTGGCCTTGAAGTATTTCCTCTTCCTCCGAAATTTTATTTATTTGGACTTTGTACCTTCGTCAATGTCGATAATCTAGGAACCCTTTTCAAATTCCGTTTTCAAAACAAGATAAATATTGCTTTAAAGACATTTAAGCGAGTATTTAATTCCTACAATGACACTCAGTTACGGATGGCTGGTAATGAACTAAATTGTATTAAAATTTCGTTTTAATTAATGCGTAGAGATGAATATCTTGATCCTTAGTCCATAGTCTTATAAAATAATAAAAAAATATGAAAACCATTCAAATGGTAAATCTACCAAATTCCTTGTGAATGCGGTGAATGGTGTATTTGAGGGACAAAACGTCTTCTAAATGTGCGACTTAACAAGCATAACATACCGCGCTGGCAACTCATACTTTTAGGTAGGTATTTACATGTGTAGAAGTAAATCGCATACACTCTCTCTAATCTGTGAGAAGCGACGTTGCGTACACTTGCACATTCCCACACGCCTTCCCTATCAAGTAAGTAAAATCACGATCGCAAACTCTTAATTTTTAAAACTTTTTTCGCAAAGTAATAGAATAAAAAATAAAATATGTTCTTCTGAGCATCTGAAATGAAAATATAAGGATATCGTTAAGATATCGTTAGGGTGTCATTTTTCTATAACGAGAAACGTCAGTAATCGCCATAATTTAAAAACTCAACTTTGTAACACATAACACGCCATAACAAGAACCACTTTAGATATTGAACTTTTTTTATTTTAGAAGTATACGAATCTTTTACAGATATTTAATGTTAGATAAAATTCGATAATGCTTTTCTTTCCATTTAAACATTTTCAAAAACCCTTCCATTTACTTTTAGTTCATAGCAATTTTCAGCAATTCGTGACTTTATTATTGTATAAGAATTTCACGTCCTGTCTTCGAAGAAATATAGCAGAAAATATTAATGAAAGTTATACAATAAATTATTTCTAATTGGATCCTGATATCATTTCAATTCAAAGTTCTAGCGACCCATGTCGAACACCAACTCAGATCCACTTATTTTTTACCAAAGCGAAGTCGTTTCTAAGCTAGGCACTTATAAAATTCAAGCTATTAGGAAAATTACAACGACTCTTAATAAATATACCAACATAAAGATATTCACGAGACGTAATTATAAATCTTGAAGCCGATCCAGGAATGTATCACCCTTCCCTAGTATTTTAAGTACTATTGAGCACTCGGATCGACCCGAACGAATCTGTTATATCCCCTTCCACGTCCTTAGCAATGTGCACAGATCTCGGTTTATTTCATACGTTTTGGCAACTGTCCTCTCTTTCTCATCTTTTTTCAGTACATTAAATACGCATTGTACTCTCACTTACATACGCAGAAATTATCACCCAAAAACATTGCCAGCCCTTAGTATTATGAACAATTCTAGCAATTACAGGCATCAAATTTAACACGTCCTAGCCGACTACAATTTCCACAAATTCGTCTTATTCTCCCGTCCAGGTAACCTCATAATTTCCATCTCCCGATGACCGATTATAACCTGTCCTCATAAATACGTCTGTCGGTTCTAAATAGCTCTCGCATAATGGGCGATGAAGTCTAAGCTTTCGGATCGCATTTTTGACGAGTATAGGAAGGACAAGAGAGAGATTCTCTCGTCACATTCCGTAACTTGAACGAATTATCGTTGAACGCTCTATGTCTACAAATTGGTTTGCCCGTTTCGAGAACAATTCGATTATCCTGGACTCATATGGATTTAGCTTGTATTTGACCAAAAAGGGCAAAGACGAGAATACAGTTGGTTTGGGCCATATGGAAATCTGGTTTTATAGACTATGGTTTGAGAAAAACTAAAGTGTTCTCGATCAGTTGCATTTAGACATGACTATATTTCTTTTTTTTCTCTCCTTGTATTATAAGATTATTTTCATGCGTCCTTTACCGTTATACATATGGCCCAGACGAGCTTATTGGTCATATCGTTTTCGCGCCACTTTTATCCGTAAATTTTTACTCCAGCCCGTCAAAGCCCGACAAGATCGTACCATAACGTTTTGACTTTTGAAAATTCTGAAAAAAAAAAAAATCTAACCATAATAAAAGTAAAATATAATAGTACAAAGCTACCCGTCGGAAAACATTTAAAAAAGTGATTCTTTAATATATCTTTTTTCTGCTTCCTTTACTTCCTGACAATCTCAGTGCTAGCAACTACCTGCATCAATGTGTTATCTCATATGGATACATCACTCTGATATCCATTGTTTTATGGATTTCTCGTTATGAGTAGAGTACCGTATGATCGAGAATAAACGTTCTCACGCAGATCATTTCCCAGCCAACTGGACGCCATTTTTTTTTCGATCATACGGTACAACGTAATGATGCAATTTTCACATTACTTTGCTACTTTTTTATGAAACTAAATATACTACTACTACTAGGTTTATCCTAGCCAGGAACAAAGGATCCTGAAATACAGGGCGAATTTGTGATGCGTAGTAGTGAACGTAACGTCTACCGGTAGCCAGACGGTCCGCACTCTGTTCAGGAGAGCATAGCAAAAGATATATTAATGAATCAGCTTTCTTAAAATTATCTCTCGAAAACGTTGCTAGCTCTTAGACTATAAGTAAAATAGCGAAATCGTGATGGAAATTTGAAAATACAAAATGACACTAATCGTTTATCCGATGAACGGAGGCATGAAAATGCAATAAATTTAAAAACTGTGTAATTCTCTAACCAATCGAAGTCTTTAAATTCAACTAATAAAATTAATATCGTATCATCGTATCGACATCTTTTATAGTAGAATTTTTTCCTAAAAATCAAAACACGTTTCTATGGTAATATAATTTCGTTTGCATCTTTTGATAGAATGCAATAGAATGTTACTGATAGAACTTTAATTAACGTCATATTTTTTGCTATTTTATAATGTTAAAGAAGCACAAAATTGATTTAGTTCAATGCTACTAAGGGGTAATGATACTTACCGGAAAATGTGATAGTTTAACTATATAATATTAATATAGTATCGCCTTTTGATTTTTAGGAAAAATTCAACCATATTTTCATGTTTTTTTTATTTTCACTAAATCGGTATGGAAATTTGGAAAAGTATAAACCGGATTAACTATTCTAGAACAAGCAATTTTTTATGAAGAATGCATTTTTCTCAGAATGTCAATAATAAAAAAGTGTTTCCTCTTGTAAAGACAATCCGGGGACTGTATAAAAAAATCTTAGTCAAATTATGCTTTAATCGTGATTAAAGTGGTATTCCAAAAAATCAAAAATTAAAATAAAGGAAAATTGTTTTAAGGAGTTTTTTTAGCAAACCTACGATGTAATATGGATATATTCTTTAAAATCTGTACTCACCCTTTTGATAATCCGCATACACCTCAAACGTCCTCACGCCGGTATACTCCGCCTTGCCTCCTGCGTAAACTCCCTCCTGCTTATCAACCAGCAACCACTGATGCCCAACAAAATTGAAAGTTTCGTTGTACCTTCTTCCTTCACCGCCATCAAGTTCCAAGGTGGCCGCGCTACCGTACCGCGACACCCTGGCCACGTGCCATTGCCCGTCATCCACCGGTACCGCGCTCAACCAAATGTCTTTCTCCTCCGTCCGTAAAGAGTTGAGGTTGTACCGGAAGTACAGTCGCGAGTCCTTGATCCTTGATCTCCAGGATACCGTACTCGCGATTGTGTTGGTCGGAAACGCGGAATAATTCGCCGTGTTCTTCTCTGGTACGGAACCGCAGTTGAACCTGAGTTGAGAACCGATCCGGTTCGAAGCTGAGAGCGTACTTGACGTAGGATTGAGGTTTGAAGCTGGTGGGGATTGTGGGGATGGCGCAAGATGGGCCTGTCCAGCCGGGATGGCATTGGCATTTGGCTTCGTTCATGCTGCCGATGCAGGTTCCGTGGTCCCAACATCTGTAATGGAATTAGTTAATGAGCCATCAAGTAACATGGCGGTTAAGTCAGGAGCTTGAAATTTTAAAGCAGAATAAAGTTTTCTATATTTATTGAAGTCTCAAATTATATTTGAGAAATTGTTTCAGAAACAGCTTTGGTCACAAAATACGCTGCTTTGGTGGAAAATACAGTACTAAAAAAAATTATAATTGAAATATTAAAAAAAAAAATGGAATTATAATAAAGCGTGCAAGATTTCATGTCTTTTAAATTATACAGGGTGGTCCGAACTGTATTCCAGAAACTTCGGCAGCATATTCTGCAGATAAAAATAAGTAAAAAAGTTCGTATAAATCTATGTTTTAAAATGCTTAGTTTTGGAGATACAGGGTGTAGAAGTTTCATTTTTATTTCGATTTTTTCCAAGTAATTTCTGAAGTAACGTCAATATTTGAATGAAAATTGGCGTCTGGAAGTTTTTTGATATGAGAAATTTGATTTTGATGTCAAAATGACTCCTATTTGTAGGGGACGCTACCTACATATTTTTAACTGGTTTGAAGAGTAACAACTTTTCGTCCGTATCTGTATAAAATCACTGAATAAACAATATACATTCACAACGTTATTTACTTAAAAAATGTCTCTTGGTAAAAATCGCTACGAGTAATGGTTCTCGGGATATTTGGAATCGAAATTATCAATACCTGTCATCATTGGCATAAATTAACGACGCTGACTAAATAGTTATTAGACCGAAATCATAAATTTGAAAAGTTATTGTGCTAAAAGTTTAACAGAAACTGTTTTATTGTCATTTTTTCGAAGAAAAAATTATGATTTAATTTTAAAAAATAAAAAGTTCCCAAATTTATCATTTAAGTCAAATAAATATCTACTCATGTTTATTTTTTTTGTCAATGACATGTATTGACTATTTCCATTCTAAATATCTTGAGAACGCTTGGTAGTAGCGATTTTTACCAAGAGACATTTTTTACGTAAAAAATCACGGAAATGTACATTTTTTCACTCAGTAGTTATATACAGGTACGGACGAAAAGTTATTACTGCTCAAAACAGTTAAAACAAATTTAGAAAAAGATCGAAATAAAAATGAAACTTCTGCACCATGTATTTGCGAAACTAAGCATTTTAGGGTATACATTTATACAAACTTTTATACTTATTTTTATCTGCACAATATTCTGACGAAGTTTCCGGAATACAGTTAGGACCAACCAGGTATAAATACAAACGAAAGTAATATTCAGATACAGGTATTGTTGATTTTTTTCTCAAAATCCTTAGTTCTTACCTTGAAGTAGTGTCCGATCTTTGACAAATTTCTTCCGTTTGCGGACATCCGGCCATACTGTGCCTTGACAAACCGGGATGTGCCAAATCGTACAACTTGGAGTTGTGGAACAAGTTTCTTATGCAACCGTCGAAACTCTTTCCTACAGGCATGTACTGCCAGTGATAGTGAGTTGGATCGAATTGTTCCACGTATAAACCTCCTAATTGTAGTGGAGCGTTCACATTTAGGTATTCGTTGAAAGGTGGTATGGTTCCTTGGGCTTGACAGCTAGAGTCATCGAATTCTGGTGGGCTACCGTCTTCTAGTTCCGCTATAAGAGATAGGTTAAAATTATGTAGATCAGGGTAATATAATAGATAAAAGTTATTATAAATTCATATTTGCCGTGTAAGGATAATAATAAATGTGAAATATTTGGAGACATATTTGAAAAAATGAAAATTTTCTGAAACAACTGATCAACAATTTTATTATTGTACTAATAATCTCTAAAATATTTACGAAAGTTTAATCGAAATTTCATACCTATATCAGCTGATTTGCAGTAATCCACAACCATCCGCACATTCTCAGTATCCCAAAAGATATCCAGTCTATGCCATTCTCCATCATCCAGAGTTTTCTTGGTCTTGACTCTTAATTCTAAAGTTCCCGAACCGAAATCCAACAGCAACCTTGGATACCCTCTTTCCAGTTCCACAGCTATGTAATCCGATACCATGATCTCGTCTTTCTCTGGTGGGACAATAGGTCCGTTGTATAGTAGTAATCCGTCTGGTTTTCTAGTGATGAATTCGAAATGCAAATGACTTTTGTCGCACATTTCCAGAGCAGGGTACCAAGCCCAGCCGTTGCCTCGGAAACTTCTGGATGTCTGTTGACATCTTGGACCGTTATACCTAAAGAAATTATTGACAATATTTTAAAGAACATTCTTTCAAAAGTAATACTACAATCTATTCAGTATCAGCTGGGCAACATATGGTCTCTTATATTGAAAATGTTGGATTATGAGCTATATATAGAGAACTAGATAAAAACATTTAAGGCTGGTGTTCCTCAGACTATCTAAACCGGAATTAGATAGTTTCGGAAATTGAATAAGCTGTGGTAATACAATAATTGTCTCATATATTACTTACCCTGCTGGACATGAACAGCTAAGTGAAAATCTTGTTTCACTACATCTTCCTCCGTTATAACAAGGCGTGTTTCTGCAGTTTTCATCTTTGGAGAAGTTTCTGGCTCCGCAAGTACATTCAGCGAGTACATCAACTCTCACACCGACCAAAGCCGTTTTATTTGCATTAACCTAAAACAAATATTGATTTTGTAAACGAGAATCGAATGCTTTATTATTTCTAATCTTATATTTGACACGATTTATACTCAAATATTTTAAAATTATCTTTTTTTTTTTTTTTTTTTTTTTTTAAATTTAAATTAGTCTCTTAGCAATGTGTGCAGTTTCTCGGTTTAGTTCCTACGTTTGGCAACAAACGTGTTTACTGTTCTTTCTTTGTTTGGTAGGTACATTATAAACATTGTACTCTTCTTACAAACGGAAATATCGACCCGTATTCAATCAACCTTTACAGCCCTTAGTATACCCAGAAAAGAAGGACTCAATGGTTCTCGCACTTAAGCAAAAAATATGTTTTTGGAAATTTTCAAAGTAAACAACTCGGTTATTTTGGACTTACTTGAAACTGTAAAGAGAAAATTTGTTTCTTTTATCGAGATCTACCAGCCCTGAAAATATTATTATTTGTATTTATTTAAGACTTTGTTTAAGATCTATAATCTATAATGTGACGGGGATTAACTCCAACCCATACACCCATAATCTCTTCCTGAGTAGAGAAGAAAAGTAGTTTTATTTTATTCATGAATGGCCAAAGTTAAACAGCTATAGAGAAGTAATCTATCTCGAATTCCAATTTTATTTTTCATACCTGAATATATTGAAATTTAGTTTCGATTCACTAAATTAAATATGCATTGTTCAGTATTGAAACTTGGCAGAAACCAGGTCAGTTGCTACTCATCGGTTTTTCAACAATTTGAAAATAGTACGGTTCGAGTCGAACTTTCTATAAAAACGAAACCCGAATATAAAACTTGAGGCGTTTGCAGGAACGCAAAATCTTTGTGCACAAATACATTTTCATTTTGAATATTAAAATTTCTTATTCATGGCAGTTCGAAAACATTCTGACTCGGTTTAAAATCTGGAAATTTTTCGAATAATCCCAGTTTTATTAAATAGAGGATATTCAAGTTTGGATGAAATAGCATTGAGATACGATATATTAAAATGTTTTGTAGATCTTTGCACATAAATGGATACAGCAGTATTAAGTCTAAACACATAGTTAATTAAATACAGAAACATTCAATCAATACATAATATAACCATTGATTGAAAGAATTGGGAAGATACGCAACCTAATAGGCAAATTCTTGACAATGCTGATTTGATTTTCCCTACGTCTCAAGTGTGCAGTGGAGACACCAATCGTTCCTCGGCCAATGCAAAACACTCATTTTCGGCTCTAATTCGGCTAACGAAGGCATATCGAGGATGGTGTAGAAGTGAAAGTGACAGTGTTGCCATATTAAATGTGTAATATCTGTAATACGTTTGACGAAAATATCCTAGGATGAAAAATCCGCGTTTAGGTATTGAAATTTATTCGTGTTAACATAGAATAAATAACGAATACGACATGATCAAAAAGGTCATTTAGTTGGCTTCTAAATGACTATAATATTTCCATATATTAATGTAATGAATTTAATATAATATTTACATCTGAAATAACAGCGATCTTCATAATTAGAGAAAATAACAACGGACAAATTAACAAACAAGCAATCTTTTTCTCAATAAAACATTTATGCCAAACAACGGAAACATACAAAATTATTCTAAATATGCCTGCATCTCTCCCGCTATTCATTTTACCAGTTTTGCGTAATTTCATCCTTTTCTGTCCTTTGTCAAAACGAGTTACATCTAATTACGGTACGGTGACATTGTGATTCGGGTCGCGAACCATTAAATGATCCGTAAAACTACTACACTTAAAGCGTAAGGTATTTGAAATTCAAATTTCGAGCACCCAACCTACTTCTTAAATATATGTTATTAGCGAAAGGCTTTAGAATATTCTTGTGCACAAATGTGGAAATTTATTTAGGTGGATTTCAGTTTTTTGCGTTCGTTGTTGGCAGTAGTTAGTATCTAGATAAAAAGACTAGAGAGATTGTGCATATGTGATGTAATAAGCTTCATTCAGAACCCCGAAATTAGTGAAATAAATTAGTGGTTTCAATTATACTTCATACTTTAGAGTCTAAGATTATTCAATGTTCAAAAATAATGAAAACTACTTTAAATTATTTGATGAAACAGCCCAGGTAGTCAGAGTTATCTATAGAGAAATTTTAGTAATTGGCTTATAAAACAAACTGCGGATGATAATGAAAGGCCAAATTAATGGTTTGGTTGTACAGCTGGTTCCAAAAACAATACGACTTTTTACACATTTTTTCGAATATTTGAGCAGTGTATATTTATATGTCAAGTATTTTGGCATGTTAAGGTTATTGTGACATTGAATAAAACAAATTTGCTTTTGACAAAGTGGCAAATAAACTTTTCAGAGTGTCCGTCAAAATATGAAAAGAAAATCTACTTATGTTGAAGGCAAACGAACGAGACTCATGTAACTCGATTCATAAACATATTATCGTATACGTATCTGACGAATAACGTTATTCTATCCGTCTAAAAATACAATGAAAAGAAGGTCTGCTTTATAAAAGATCTTTTATGGCATGTCGCTCGCTGATTTTATTTCTTTTCTCTGCATCCTCAACACAAACAGCTTTAGCGAGCTGAATTTTTAGTAAAACCATTTATTTCTCTCCAAAACTATGTCAAAGAAGAACTCTGTAATGATATTAGGAAATATAAGAGTCTATTTATATTCTAACATCCCTACACCGTAATCCAACAAATAGTAAGTCTCTCCTACTCAATTTAGTTTCATTTTATATTATTATTGTAACATAATAGAGATAGTCCCAGATATCACCGATGTGTGTTACGGCGTGTTGTTCGTGTGCGAGATAAATAGTCTTGATAAATTATAAAAACATCTATCTAAAATCTTAAACGGTTTTTGTGTGTGTGAATTTTGTAAACAATAACTCCCAGTTATGACGCCATAAAAATCAAAATCGTAAGAAATTTCAATCTAAAAGAAACAACATATTTCCTACTTACCAATTGAATCAGAAAATATAGAAACCACAAAGGTATTGTATTGACAATGACAAACATTTTAAAATATTAGAAATATATTTCCCCCAGAAGAAAACCGCCCAATTTATCTTTAAGTCCTATAACAAAAAAAAAATATTCGTGCGGAGAGACTGTCAAGCCAACAAGTATCCAAATCCTTCCAAATTTATCGAGAGGCAAAGTTTTAGCCTGACCTTTTTGTTGTGGCGTGTTTTCTATTTGTACGCCCTTGGAAGGGTCCGGCCTATCTTGAACAAATATAAGAACCGGTAATGAAGACCGTCTGTTTTCCTTCGGAGCAGTTTTGTTTGAGGAAAACTAGGAAAGGTAAACAAATTAAACCTGGCAGTTGCTAAAAGACGTTTGTGTTTGTTTGGGGAACGTCTGGGATAAATATTCCATGGGAATTTAATCCCCATGGAATATTTTTTTATGGTTTTTATACAGGGTTCGGTATAAGTGTCGGGCATCTGTAGTCTGTAGCTCCTAAAATAATAAACTTGGGAATTTTGTTTATGCATGCCTAAAGTAGTATCTTGTACACTTGGCACTAAAAGAGGTTCTAAAAAAGAACAATGTTTGACTGAAAGGTTTGCTAATAAAGCTTAAAGTATCACAACACTGTATATACAAGGTGGCGCACCTCATCCGCCTCGGTTGATTATACGAAAATCTGAAAGATCTAGAAACAACTTCGTTATTTCAAATACAACACTATGTATTTTTAAACAAGTCGAAGCAGATTTAAACGCTCTTAAATATTGGGCTTTCTATACCTATCTGGCTCAGATTTTGAATAAAAGTTACTAATAAAATAGTAATCAATATGGCTGGTGTCACCATGGCAATTTGCTAGTGACAGTTAGTAGCTATTTTCAATATCGACATTAATTTATAGACTTATTTAAATTTATAACAGGTTATTTTTATTTAATTTACCTGCCATTGTTAATAAGTAAGTATTTCTTATTTTAACAAGAAGTTTCTGCTGGCGGACGGAATGGATATGTTATACTAGTGATTTTATTTAGTGAAGATAATTGCTTGTTAGTTTGAGCATAAGCCTGAAGGGTTTATGCTCAAAGATATCCAAATAGGAATTTTTTGACAGGCGTTCCTTTGAAAACTACTTTTCCTATTTCTCAGAGCTGATAGTGTGGTATATGTATAAAAAACTGTTAGTGAAAACCTGTCGTTGGAAGTGAAGAAAATGAATTTGCCTTTATTGGTTCTTTTATAGAAATCCAATATATTTACAAGTCATCGCAATATAAATCAAAAAACTACTTTACTTTTCACAAAATAATAATATTTACTTATTAAACGATTGTAGGTAAATGAAATAAAAGTAAACTCTTATAAATATAAATAATACTAACTGTCACTAGCAATTTGCCATGACACTAGCCATCTTGATAGCCATTTTATTAAAAAAATCGCTTTTTTATTCAAAAAATCTGAGCCAGATAGGTAGAGGAAACCTAATATAGTTTGAAAGAGCATTTAAATAAAAAACTAAAATTTTCAAAAAAAAATACATAGTGCTGTATTGGAAAATGTAAAATAAATATTTAAAATAGACCAGCAATTTTTGATACCTGTATAAATTTAAGGAAGAAATAATTTTTTAGTAAATTTTATTCCTCTGGCTTCAAAGTCAGCACAAGAATTAACTTTGGAAAGTAGTGTACAGGGTGTTGACAACCTTTTTTATTATAGCATGAATATTTAAATATCTTTAAATATCTCAAAAGAAGCATTTAAGCATATTAAACCCTTATAACAAATGCTTTTTTATGCCCAGAACTAAAATGAAACAAATGGGTGTTTCTATAAGAAAAAATAATAACTTTGGTATGGATCTTAGTTCTGACACACCCGTCAACCGAGGCGAATGAAAAAATATTTTAAAAAAAAAAAATATATCATAAAATTTTTATTACATCTTCTGTTTTCGTATAATCACCGAGGCAATGAGGTGCGCCACCCTGTATAAACTAAAAACTTTGTAATACAAAACTAAAGTGTCAAAACGAATGACAATCTAGGAATAAATGAATAATTGGTGGCAACTTGACACTTTTTACAGCAGAGCTACCACCTGAATTACCAGAAGCGGGAAATTTAAATTCCAGTTTGTTAGCCCCGCGCCGAATATACTATGAAGCAACAATGACTAAAATTGGCAATTTCTCGATTACGCAACTAAAAGTTTGATTGATATCAAATATATAAACAGATGCATATTTCTAGTATTTTTAATCAAATATTTGGTTTTACTCACCATATAGGGTAGAGCACTAATGTCCAGTGTGTTAGTACAAGATCCTTCACACATTTGGTTCTCGTATAGGCATTCGTCAATTCCAACCTGAAAAAAAATTGAACTATTATTACAAAAAAATATATAAATTTAAATTTCTATTAATAGACAAATATTTATTATACTAAGAAAAACTAAGTTTAAAATTATCATTCCATCTCATACCCTATATTCCATTTAAATATTTGTGACAGATGGAGACTATAATTTTACTAGAAAATGAGGCTAAAGAGTCAATAATTTAGCTACAAATTTCTGAAAAAATTTCACTAAAACAAAAATAATAAGACAAAATAAAAAATTATAAGGTGTCCAATCTTCCTGCCGGTCAGTATATTTATCTTAATCTAAACCATTTACCAAAACAAAATATATTGAAAAAAAAAAAAAAAAACTATTTTTTTCAAACGCCATAAATAATTTTTTGACAATTTCAAACGTTACAAATAATATAAAAGATTTAAAAGTTATACCTTGTAAGTAATTATATATCTATATGATGTTCCCTTGAATTTGACATCACTTTATGTCAGCTTAATAATATATTTTCGTACTTTTATGTTTTGGCATCTTCTTTTTGTTTATGTTTAGGCGTAAAGTGTTTTACTTTTTATGCTTAGGCGTTAATAGATATTTACGATACAAGTCGCGTGTATTGTACAATATTTTATCTACGCCTAACTATAAAACACAAGGAATTTTAAAATTATTATATTTCTAACCATATAATCTATCCTAAAAAATCAATTACCTTAATACCTTTGTTCAAATAACACCATGCATGGCAATGTCAATATGGCAGTAAATAATATTGATGTCAATAGTTTAAAATGAGCGATTCAAGTATTTCTCCTTACATTTTGAAGAAGAGGTGAGCTATTTCTGGGATTGCTTCCAGAATGATTGAAAGTTCGATTAGGAAACATGAAAATTAAAAAGTAATAACTATGGAAATGAAAACTCATAAACTCGTAACATATTTTTCCAATTTAGTGTTTTAAAATAAATGTTTTACAAAATGTTTTTTTCTCTTTGGTAGTCATCTAAACAAGGAGTGCGGTAATGAAAATGCGTGAGTTAAGAAGATCTTAACTCACTCAAAATGCGTCGATCGAAACAGTAATGTTCATCATCAAATTATAGGTTATTAAATCCCAATAATGATCAAACATCAAATTATAGGTTATTATAGGTTATAAATATGGTCTGCATGGTCTTCCTATTTTTTATTACATTGAGAATAAAATATTTTATTTTGAAAATTTCCATGCATATTTTTTACTTTATTTGAATTTAGGTCACTTTATAAATGTAATATATTATAACAAATTGTCAATTTTTAAACCGGAAATAAAATACAGAGAGAGTAACACATTTATTAAATGTTAAAGTTCGCTGTTCATTATATTTTTTGTATTTTGGGACGTTGATAAATTAAAATAATTGTTCAGGGTGCGCCGTAAACATGTCAATGTTATTGGCAAAAACCAAAACAGACATTGGAAAGTTTTTAATTTAAATTTTATTTGAATGGTTGCTTGGGCCTTTGCTGTTGTAAATTCGGTCACGTCGTTACGAGTTACCATGTTACGGTATCGGATTTTTTAATATAGGTACAGTCGTTTTTTGAAAAGGTTTTTCGGTAATAAAGTTTTAGCTAAAAATAATGAAACTTTTGAGTTGTTTTTTTAGCAATTTCACAGATTTTTGTTGATCAGTTCTGTTGAACAGCCCAAAAATTAATTAAAAGATCACGTAATTACTAAATTTTTTCCATTTAAAATTTTTCGGTTGCGTGTTTCTATACAAAATTAATTGGTTATACAGGGTAAAATAAAATCGTATAATATACATTTCAATCTCAGTTTGCACAAGAACATTAACCAGGAGAATATTCATGATATGATACACAGCTTACTCGTTTCAGTCGATTCTGGAAACACTCGTATGAGTATTTTTTGCGTAAAGGAAGTTTTGAAAACAGGGACAAAATTACAAAAAAAATCCACTAGTTTTCAAAATTTTAACCATTTTTTTTTAAATTTTCAAAATAAAGTAACTCGGCGATTTTTGACGTAATCTGTTCAGCCAAAAATAATTATACATTATTTGACAGCACAAACAAATTATAATTTTGACATTGATCGATGTCCGTCAATAAAATTATAACTCCAAATCAAATGTGTAGTAATTTACGAAATGCCGTAATGACGTCACCAATCTGTTTCATCTGACCGTCAAGTGAATGAGAGAGTTCGACAATATAAGATGGCTGAAGAAACAATATTTGAAAAAAACAGTGTAGAGAAATTATATTTCTTTTATCGACATCTACCAGCCCGGAGAATATGTGCACTTATTTAAGACTCGCCCTGTAAGAAAATCCCCATTTAATTTTTTTTCCATAGCAACTGTTAAAATTGCCTTATATTTATCAAAAATAGTACTTTAACCGCAAGGGTAGATTAAATGACACTTTAACAGCGAGGATAGGTTAAAAACTTTATTTCTTCTCGCACGTTTTTTAATTTCTTCCATTTTTGAAAATTTTTGTATTATCCTTTTCATAAGTTATTCGGGATTTAAATGGAAGTAGTTTGGATATGGCGTTTGTCGCTTCAACCTGAATATCTGTTGGTAATTTACTTATTTCGTTTTGAGAGCCATTTCTGACTCCAATTAAATCAGCAATCGACACTAAAGAGAATTAAAAAATATTGACTCAAAACTGACAACTAAAGAGACAGCTTTATTTATCTGTTAAATTACATAGAAATCAACGCCAACCCAGCACAATATTTTTTATATTCGTAATAAATTCCTTGAAATAATAATTTCTGAATATTTTTTAAAACGTAACTTGCTATGGAAAAGAATATTGTTTTATACACGACGATAAAATTGTATTATGGTCTCCCGAAATTAATTCACTCGCGATTTCATCGCTCGTGAATTAATCTTTTCGGTGGACGATAAAATACCATTTTATCGTCTTGTATAAAAATATCTATTAAATTAAATAAATAGCACCTCAAAAGGTATTAATTAAAAATAATCTGCTCAAATGATTTGCATAATTTTATAGAGTAAAATAAATACACAAAATGTTTTTTATAGCTGCAATAGGGGTTAGTAGCCTCATTCTGAAACCGTCCAACATTCCAAACCATAAACTTGTTTTCTCTACTTTATAGCATTTTTGTTTCCCGTCCAGTAAAAAAATACATAAACAGATTTACAGCGTTTCTTCTTCCGTCCTATATTCCTGTTTACAAACATCGAAAATTTTGTTAGGAATTTATGGCGTCTTTTTTTCTTTGCCCCGGAACAAGGTAACGATGTCATTTATTACATTTGCTAATTTTTAGTAAGATGGACGGCTAAAAATCATAGCTTTTCTGGCCTATTATACACACAAAAACCTCAGTTAGATCATTGAATTATAGTTACAAAAATACTTTTATACCTTAAGAGTGTGGGTATTGTTAATAAATTATTCGTTGAGATATCAAACATAGATAAATAAAACAAGTTTAAATTGGAAAGTGCCGATACGGACAATGTAAATATTATTTGGCGCTATTCATGCAACGGTTGCGATCCAAAGCTCTTGACAATTTCGGAACGGTTCGGCTTTTTCCGGAATTATACCGCCAAATAATATTTATTCAAATCTATTATTATTTTCGTTAAATTTTATAAACAAAATACAGTGTGTTGCATAAAAGAAACTTTATTTTATATAAGGACATGTATGAAATACCTAAAATATATTAAAAAACTATAAAAAAACAGCAGTCTGAAGTAAAACAATAATTACCGTAATACCTATAATATTCCTACTTACCGTAATATATATATAATAATCCTATTGGATAAGTTTTTCTGAAGACACTATACAGGGTGAGTCACAAATAAGTGCAAATATTTTTAGGGCTGGTATATCTCGATAAAAAAACATATTTTCTCTTTACCGTTTTTCATGTTCAAATAAACCTACTTTGAAATTTTCAAAAAAATTGATTTTTCGCTTACATTTTGAGAACAGCTGGATCTTTTCTGGGTTTTCTTTCTTCTAAATTTAATCTAATACCTATGTTGCCATATTATCAAGAAATTATGTTTTATAACTAAAAACTAAAAAAAATCAAATATTTTTTTTTTCAAAAAATTCCAATTTTTTTTTTTTTCGCAAAAAAACTTCATAGGCGTATGTTTCTGAGGTCGAAATATAATACCACCCCTAAAATATTTGCACTTATTTGTGACGTAACCCTTTATATTCCCAGATTTTTATGAAATTTTAAGTTTTTTTTGAAGGTTACGATCTTCACGGAGCTAAATGGTTTTTTTTTCATAAATATGAAATACGGAATTAATAAAAAGCAGCAAAAGACAAATTTCATGAAAAATGTCAATATTAATAGGCTCTATTGAGGCAAAAATACGAAATATTTAACATCATTTCTGCACCATATATATAAACATGTCGTTTCAAAGATCAGAAACCAAAATTTATTCAAAAAAAGAGGAAAAAAGTTGGATTATCAGTACTCAACAGAAACTTCGTCGATATTTTTCACCTCACGAGGGTGTCGGGCCCGAACTTGTCTGAAAAAAGGTCGTCGGATAACCGAAGAATATTTTATTTTCTAATGGGATCGCATTCCTCAAAAACTTATCTTCCACGGGGAAAATTATTTATTCGTGATGGATATTCCCCTTCACTTTTTTCGTTGGAGTAATACTTTTCCTTCAGCAAGTGAGTTTTGTTAATCGTCGTTCGCTTTTATAAAGTATATCGCTTTAATCTAAATAGTATCGCTTTAATCTAAATAATATCTGTGTTATAAGATTTGTAATATACAGTGTGTTTCTGCAGACGATGATAGAAAAAATGCAGATGACGTCCCATACCAATCTATTTATTTTACTAAAAAAGGTTTCTAATATTTTTAAAGTTAACTATGGATGGGTTTAAATATAAATCCGTCATACGTCGTCTCTTGTTGTTTTTCACCAGTTTTATTGATTTATTTCCAAAATGACAGATCATATTTCAATTTTATTGGTTTGACGGAACGATGAACGCCGATGCGTATAAACTCGCCTTTAGATTTTTGAGGCTTGTCAAAGTCTTGCCAAATTATAGGTTATAATTTTGTGTCAATTTATGTGAAATACCCTGCCTTTTGGAAGATGCGCATTTTGATTCGTGTTATTACGTGTGTTTTGTGCCTTTTCAAGCCAAGTGGAGGAAAAATCGAGGGAAAATTAACTGTAGACCCAGAGCACAGTTTATAGTTAATACTCGGTGTCCAGGCAGAAAGTCTTCTACACCAATAAAGTTACCATCAATAAAGTTTGTATACCATCTCGTCATAGATAAGTGCATCTAGTATATAGTACAAGGATCGTACTAAACATAGGTATACTAACAACTGGAGTAGCCATAAAATAACGACATCACACGATAGGTAAATAATGGATTTTAGTACTGCAGAAAAATAATGTCAAAAGGTATACTGGTTAAAAAAAATTAAGATTAAAGTTAATTAATCAACCTTTAAGGTATAAAATTCGGTAAGTGTTATTAATAAAAAAGTTTGTTTTATTTATGTTGTTTGATTTATTGCTGTGGAATATTACAAATTTGTATTTGTAATCTTTTTTTGAAGTTATCACTTGTCACTCAAATTTTAAATATATTAATTTCATGCTATGAGTTCCAATTGTACCAACTTATTTCTTTGTAAAATAAAATAAACTACTTTGAAATTAAAATGACAGACACATCTGTCACTGTCAAGGATCTTGTCGTTGGACAGACTATACTTCGATTGATATAGCACTAAATACATTTTGGAGAAGAATTTTTCAATATTACAGTTGTTCTACTTACACTGCAGAGATACCGGGCGTTTTCAAAAATGAGTCACCACTATAACTTTTTTATTTTTTCAGATAAAAAAACATTGGGTACGTGTGTAGGTATATGACATAAACCAAGATTAACTGACATATCCAATTAGTGTCGGTCACTTCTTATTTCACTGTAAATTATTACAACTTTTGATTTTTAAATGAAACTCTCGATATCTTTTAATTTTATTTGAGAAAAAACATTATTCTGAATAAAATGACATTTTTGCATAAAAAATAGTATTTTGAATTTCAATCTAGAGTGTCATCGCTGTCATAAATTTACTAATTTCTAATCAAGAAGTCTTGAAAAAATAGATTTGATCTTCTAATATTTTTCGTGACTTTTCCTGGCCGGTCAAAAGATGCCGAAATCGTATTTTTAATCATAACTCAAATTTTTCAAATGGAATGAATGTGGCTCATTAGCATATTATAAAAAGCACATTATTTTGACTCTGTTATAGACAGGTTGATATCAAGACCATAGTAAAAGTTAACTAACAATAATAATTAGAAATATCATAAATATTCTATAACTAAGTAAAAGGTTTACAACTACTTACCATCGTAATATTGATACCAACAGCTCGTTCGATTTCTTCTCTGTGCATTAGTACCATTCCATTAAGCCTGACAGGTTTGTAGTAGGGGGAACCACCGTGAGCAGAAAATCTGACGTCTGTTACAGGGGGATGTTTCCTCCTTAATTGTACGCTGAAGACATCAACATTCTCTCTATCGATGTTCAACAAATCGGCGATCTTGTCTCTGAACTTTTCGGCCATACTTTTTGGTAAATCCTAGAAGAAAAAAGAATGGTCTATCATACGATGTTATTGTTGTTTTAATCACATTATTGTGTTAATGCACCTTTGAGAAAAATGCACAATATTTTCTTACAATACAAAATAAAGTAAAGTTGTCTTAAAGGTTTGTAATTACCTTTAAAAAGGTTTTTTTTCAAAAAGAAAATTAAAATAATGTAGTATTTATGAATCAACACAGAAGTTGGGAAATATATTAGTTAAATACATCTAGATTTGAAGTTATTTTAAAATAATAAAGAAGTGTTATTTAAAATAAAACAGGGAGCAATATTAACGCTTAAAAACTCCAAATTAGTTTTTCTTATACTTTCCTAAAGGGATAGAATCTAACATAACATAGATTAAGATATTCTTACGTGTAATTTGTAGTCCCATACTCTGATGAACTGTTCGTCTGTTATGCCGGCAATTCTGACAGATCCTGAATTAACCACTGCCTCATGAGGTATTTCTTTTACTGTCACAGTGACATTGGCTGGTACATCAGTTTGAGTATGTTTTCTATCATAGACCTGAAAAAAGAAAGTTGATCTATAGTAATTTAGTGACTTCATCATTTAATGTTAAATAAGTAGGATTATATGCCACACGTTTTTTTTTATTTAATAAGCCTTCAATAACACAATAAATATGCAACATTGTATTTTTAATCAAATTTCATTTATAAATTTAAGATTGTTTTGTTCCAAGAGTCCAAAAACTCTTGCATTAAATTATGAAAAAAAACTATTGAAACATTTATCTTTTAGCAAAATAACAATACCTGTTTGTGAATCCGCCATGTCTGTTTTTTAATTACTGATTTAAATCTTATAATGAATTTCGAAAAACATCGTCAAGTAGTGTGACAGTCCTATTAAAACATTCAGTTAGAACACGTGGACGCATTCATGGACGATGATAACCAAAGGCCAAAATGACATTCCTCGCAAATTTTGAAGTATAATTAGTGGAAAAGTTATAAGTTTGGTAACTTTTTCCACTAAATGACAATTCCTACTACTAATTTTGACGTTCTGAATGCTTACATTCAAATTAGAGGAACAAACTTCTACGCTAATTGAAACCACTAATTTATTCCACTAATTTAGAGGTTCTGAATCAAGCTTTAAACTAAAATAAACCCTTTATTTTTAGCCTTCAACATTAAAAGTACCTCATTATAACTAACGGTTTAATACAAAAACGGAAAAATGTATCTTTTCCAAAACCAAACAATTTCCATTTGAAAATAACAATTTAATTTTAACATACAGTCCTTCTCTAAACAACCCCTCCCAACCTCAAAACACGATTTATTATCTTTGCCATTTTAAAAACGCCAACTCGCTACGCTCTCATCTCTTCCGCTATTTTCCTTTCGCTCACCTTAAATTTCAAATGGTAGACGCCGTCCCTGGTGCCCTGTCGCATCGATATCATGCCCGTGTCCTCGTTCAGCTTGAAGCGGATGTGTTCCGCGCTCTCCCAGTAGAATTTCTTGTCGGGCAGGTCCCAGTCGTCCAGATCGTAGACGTACACGCGACCGATTTCCGTTTCCGGTGCCTGGCCTGAAACAACAAACGAATGTGTGTTATTTTTGATGGAACTCCACACGAAATTTTTACAGAAAATTTCTTAGAAAAATGTTTACTGTTTAAATATAACTTTATTTTTTATGTCCTTGTATAGAGACATCATTTTAAGTGCCTCACTCAATTTACAATCTTCTTGTTTTCTATTTAAAGACAGTAGAAAGAATCCTTAATATAATTTTTAACGAGGATGCCGATTTTGTACCTAAAATTTTCCTGAAAAGACATCAATTTGGACAGATACCTTCTTGTTTTTCTAATAGAAACCCCCACGTATTTAAGCATCGTCCGGTAGACAATTTTTAGCTAATTTCAAAAATATATAGTTCAGTATACTTTGCACTTACGGTTTTCGATATACAATTGAGTTAAGAATGTACTTCTAGAATCATTTTAAGTGTCTCACCCAGTTTAAAATTTTCTTGTTTCTTATTTTAGGATAGTACAAAGATATTTTAATGTAACTTTACGCGAGGATGCCGACTTTCTACATGAACAGGTTTTAAATTATCAATTTTGACAGATACGACGTCATTCATGCGCCAGTAAAATTACATTAAAATATTTTTACTATCTTTAAATAGGAAATAGTAGTAAAATTGTAAATTGAGTAAGATACTTAAAATGAAGTCCTTGTACATTTCGCTGTTGTGAACATCAAAGAAAAGTATCTCGTAATCCAATAAATTATGTAACCTTTTGATATGTATTAAATCAATAATAAATTATATACTAAAGATAAAGTGCACCATTCCGTAACGTAATATAAAATATAATAATAATAGCTCCCGTATATAGCGTTTGACGCATTGGGAGTAGCAAGGTACAGCTTGCCATATTAGAGCCGTTTGGTATACAAGGAAGGTAATGTGGCTAGCACTACGCTTCAACCGCCTATTATTACTTCAGGATTGTGAATCCCAAGTACTCATTTAAGGCTGAGTCGACCTAGGTACCCAAACTATTTTTATTTTAATAAAAATAGTCTGCTGTTGAAATGCCGGGTGTGGGATTCGAACCCACTACCTTGAGACCTACGCCACCTTGTAATACAATATAAAATACATTATAAAATATAGGTTGTTCAAATATTCCGTGGCCACCGAAGTACTAAATGAATAAACTCATCTTTTAATTATAGTTTAAGAACCGATATTCAGATTTGAATGTGATTTAAGATGTTTATGTTGTGCTAAGCGATGTAGCATTTCACTTTCATAAAAAAATTAAAAGGTAAGGGGAGGGTAAAAACTACTACCTGAATTCTAGCAAAAATGTTTTGTAACTTCACCGACGACTGACTTTTTTTCGTAAAAAGGTCCTTCTAAGATTTACTACATTTTTTGTCTCTTGTAAAATAACTACGCTCGATATAGTTTTTAGGAAAAAATGTTTGTCCCAATCTGACCTACAAAAAAAATGCTTCTGTGTTATTTTAAATATTAAAATCTAATAGACGATAATAATTTAGTTGAACATATTATTTTTGATAATAGTCTTCAAAAATTTTAAATTTGTTAACGTTTGGGTTTTATTAAAATTATTTATTAATATGAGTGGTTTACTTTTACATACCTTGATAGTTGTAGACGAAAATGTTCTTGGCACCAGGCTGCATTTTGTTGTCATTAACATCACCGACGACTACAGTAAGAGTACTAGTACCAGTCATAGCCGGATTTCCATGATCCTTAATCACGATGGGAATATGGAATTCCTTCTGCTGTTCTCTGTCAAATGATCGCAGTGACGTAACGATAGCCATGCCGTCTCCATTAGCGCCCTCTGAAATAAGAAAATACATGGTATAAAATACTGAAAGCAAATAAATAAAAAAATAAAGATCCTCAAAACTAAAAAAATCATTATATAAAAAAATTGTTTCAGTAGATACTTTCACATGAGAAAGATATCTAAATATCTTAATGAATTAATTTTTGAGTTTATAGAAACAAATATGCCATAGAGCATATACATTACTTACTTTGGTCTTGTTCTACTTTGAAACTGGCTCTAACTAGGTCACTAGCGCTGGGATCTAGTCTGAACTGGAATGGTGGGCCATTGCTCTTCGATCTGTCATCGTCGTCAGTTGCCAGAATTTCAACCACCTTGAAAAAAAAAGAAAACGTTATAATGTCTTTCTGAAGATATCGTTTAGAACTACACCCTCTACAACCTTCACTGTGTTTAGATATTTTGATACATACTATATAAAAAATTAATTTGAAGCTCATCAGATTTTTTAAACTAAGATGAAAATATATTAGACGCATCTTCAACTGCGAATAAACTATATTTTGTCGAGCAAAAAATAAATGAAATAAATATGATAGTAATAGTCGTTTTTTGTAATTTTAATACAATAGAAGAATTTGCCCATTTTTTTGGATGTGTTTTCTGTTTATACAGGGTGAGTATTAAATAAATGCCATATTACATTATATTTTCTATTTGATTTTTTTTCTAAAAATTCAATTTTTTTTCGCGAAAAAAACCTCATGGGCGCAACCTTATTATTACCTGGGATCGAAATATACCATCCCTATAGTATATATTCTGTCGCTGTTAAATTTTGAAATCCATAAATAGAAAAAATTCGATAAATTTTTACTAAAAATGTGGGCTTTTTAAGTGGCAACCTAACATGTTTCTCTTTTCATCTGATTTGTATATCTTGAGCATCTTCGTTTTGTGCAGTAAAGTTTATCCATAGTATTAGTCTGAGTGTGTCAAATTAAAATATCATTTTAACATCTTTTGTGTCATCGTTTTCATATAATCACACGGTGTTTCACGCCTATATATTCCCTTTATATTATATTATCTCTAAAAGAGTGCATAACTTGATACTTTGTTCGCAAGCAAGCTTTTCATTTTAATCAAACATTTTCTTCCTTCTTAAGTTTAAAACTAAAAAACACTTTTTAGTTGACACACTTTTCAGAGAAGTTTTATCTAAAGAGGATCATTATCTTCAGAGGTCTTTTGAGTAAAATAAAAAAGCCTTTTAAAATTCGTCAAAATAAAGGTTAAAATAAGATTTAATTTGTTTGAGGTACACTAACTTATACTAAAAGGATTTCTTAAAATCCTTCTCATTCTTCGTTATGCGTTTGAGAACATTAAATTTGGAGTATAGTTCATCGAAACTCACAAATATTTTTTTTTATATCGTGAACAAGGCTTAAAAACAAAAATAAATGACAGAAGATATCCCTTGGAAAATTTAAAAACAAACAAGTATACAAACTCCTATATCTTTTCCTACATATTTTATTAAATTAAATTTACTACTGTATACATACATAAAGATACGGTTCATACCAAATAAACTTTTAGTCACGTGATTAAGCTTGACCGGCACAGCGTTGCCCACTTTTATACATTTTCTTTTAACCAAAATACTTTAGGAAACAAAAACAAGTTAATTATAAATATATAAACAGTTAATGTTTACATCAACAAAACTGACCTCCTTAACAGCATTTAAGGGACATAAATGGCCATAACTACCGCTTTCCCGTTCAAAATATTCTAATAAGGTGGTGATGAGTAATTTGCAACGGCTATTAAGCTATCTTGTATACTTTGCACTAAAAGAGGTTCTAAAAAGAACAATGTTCGACTGCAAGGTCTGCTAGTAAAAATGTATTTTTTTAAAGTATTGTAAAATTAAGTAAAAGTACTGTTTAAATTTTACTTTAAAACTTTAAAGTAAAATTAAAGTATTACAACAGAATTCATTTAAACCAAAAACTCGTAATACAAAACTAAAGTGCCTGACAATGTCAGGAAATAAATAAATAAATGTGGCAACTTGACATTTTTTGCAGAGCTACCACCTGAATCCCTAGCGGGAAACATAAATTCCAGTTAGTTAGCCCGGCGCCGGATATGTCCATGGTTGGCAACAATGAATTTAAAAATCGCACCATCAATTACGTAACTAAATGTTTAATTGGTATCGCTTATATAATGATAGTCTTTCATTTTGACTTACCTTTTTGGGTGCTACATGTTCAGTGATGACCGGCCTGTAGTCCTTCAAAAATGTCGGAGCGTTATCGTTGATGTCTTGAACAATAACTGTCAAAGTGGCTGTAGCCGTTTTGGGTGGTACGCCATCATCAATGGCCAGTATTTTCACCTGATGACGTGGGTGTCCTCTCTGTCCAGTGACCTCTGTATACTGACCGTTCCTTCTTGGTTTATGGAGAATTGGCGTTTCTGTCTGAACTACGATCCACTAGATATGACACCTGTAATAAAAGAAAAACATATATAACCTATTCTAAGCTCGGCAAGGTTTGGGTTTTAGTCGAGATTTCCGTATGTAGGAAGAGTAAAATGCATTTATAATGTACTGAACAAAGAGAGAAGAATAAAAACGTTGCCAAACGTATGAAATTAACAGAGAAACTGTGCACACATTGCTAAGAGACTAATTTAAATTTAAATCCAGTACCTGCCCATACTTTCTAATTCTAGGGAAGGGTAGTTTGGCGTCTCATTATACTTTATTTGTTTATTTATTAACGAATTGTAGTAATTCTCCTTACAGCTTGATAGCTTGTGAATTATTAAATGCAAGTTAGAAATTAAACAACGACTGCCAAAAGTTTGCAAATTTTGGTAAAAATAAGTGGAATTGAGTTGGTGCTAGACAGTGGTCAGCGCTATGAGAACTGTGAATTCAAAAATCGATATCTCGAAATCCATTAGAAATCATTGATTGTGTTTTATTAATCTTAACGTTTCTGCTATATTTTCATCGCAGACATGTGAAAATCTTTACAAACAAAAAAGTTACACGATTACTGAAAATTTCCATGCACTAAAAGTTGATGGACGCGTTTTTTAATTTTTTTAAAAGAAAAAAAAAGAAACTTATCAAATTTTTCTCATTTAAACATCTTGACTAAAATCCGAACTTTAAAATAAAAAAAAATAAAGTTTCAATATCTAAAGTGGTTCTTAAGTTATCGCGTGTTATGTGTTAAAAAGTTGAGTTTTCAAATTACCGCGATTATTGACGTTTTGTCAATATATATATAAATACTATAATATACATAATAATGGCTACCATAAAAATATTCTTTTAACTCGATTTCAGATGCCCAGAAACATATATTATGATTTTATTTAGTCATCTTTCCGAAAAAATCTTTTAGAAATAAGCGCCTTTCGACCAGGGAAATGGGCAACTGTATCTCCGAAAAATGTGGCAATACTGCAACAGCAAACCGTTGCATTTCTCTCACTCTGACTTAATAAGATCCCTACGCGATTCACTTTCATACCGCTAAATACCGATCCAAGAGCAAAACTTGCCAGCGCGGTATAGAATTACTAGGCCATAAAATAATTTTTCTCTTTTCTAAAATTATAGACATATTATTAATCTGACCTTTTGTTATAATGAAAATAATGAAAATAGAAAAAAAACTATTAGATATCCTGTCATCTATCACTTCGAACAAATCAAATTAAGCAGAAAGGTTATAAATTGTTATCCAAACTTTCCTAATCACATATATTGCTTTGTATTTTGATCGATCCCAAAAACTTTCCATCATGACGTAATTCTACTTTTCGGGATGCGAACTGTGTGTGATGTAATTCCTAAGAATCGAGTTAAGAAGTCCATTTGGAATGTATCAAATAACGTGCCAAATAAGCAATATTCGAAAAGGGGAATTATACAGTTCTGTTATTTGATTAGTTCGTAATGTATACGTATTCACATTTCTACCGCTTCTGCCTCATAAAATTTATCGTTCGTACTATCAAGCAGTTGTGACATTTTATTTAAAATATGCAATTCGATTAACTACATCGAGACAACAGTGGCGTGCAGTGCTAGTCAGAACAGGGTAGGCAAAAATTGGCATAATAATAAAATAGAAATAGCATAAGTAATTATTATAATTTTTTTTCTCTTAGTTTTGCGATTTTTTTCAGATTTGGCATCGCTGTGCGGGATAGCGGCCGACTCATGTTCAAATTTGTGAAGCTCATTAAATTGAGAAATAAGACGCCATCAGGGCCTATACTGAAATGAGTCATAAGAGAGTATTAAAACTCTTATTTTAAATGACTTCAGAATTTGAATTACGCCAAACTTGCTATAAAATACTTTTCTCAAAGTTGAAAGGTCTATAGGATATAAAGTTATTTGTCTGTACTTTCTAAAACTCTTTTAATGGAAAAAGTTTATTTAACTGGGTATTACACTATTAAAATTATTTATGTTCGATGTAAAGTATATTGACGTTCATTTAAATTCGTGCAAAGTTTATTTTAGACACAAACAAACGATGTACGGGGTGAGGCAGAGTCGGAAAAAGTTTCAATCAAATTCCTTGTTTGATATTTCCACCATTTCCAATAGTAGCGTACCTACATAATATGTCTCTTTATTAATTTTCATATTATGAAAAATTATAAAGAGTGTGAGAAATATACGTTTACACTCTAGAATTGTAGTTATTTAAATGAATTGCTGTACCGGGTGTTTCTCAAAAGTGGCTCACCCCTATAATTTTTTACTTTTTCAGATAAAAAAAACGAGATTTGGTATGTGATATATGACATAAATTAGGATTGATACAGATTCTACTATTATTTTATTTGATAGAAAATGACACTGAATAGAACAACATATCAAATACTAACTTTTAATATTTTCGCTGAAAAAATCGAATTTTAAATTTCAATCTAGAGCACCATGGCTGTGTTAAAAACACTAATTATTAATCAAGGACCCTTAAAAATAGATTTGATCGTCTAAATTTTTTCGTGTGTTGTCCTGGCTGGCTAAAATATGCCCAAAACGTATTTTTAATCATATCTCAATTTTATCAAATGGAACAAGGGTGGCTCATTAGCATATTATGAAAAATAATTTTTTACGAATAATTTGTACTACACACTTGGTACTTCAAGTCAAATTGTCGTTATGAACCATTTATTACAGAGAACATAAGTTTCTTCAAATAGTTGAAAATATTGACGATTTTAAATTTCAATATTCTTATAATAGAACTTTTGTTTAATGCTTGATTCGTCTTTTCAATGTTAAAAAATAATTTGTAAATGTAGTAAAGCTCGTCAGAAAATTCAGTATTTTTTGCAACAAAAAAGAGATTGAATGACAAATAATTGACAAACGAATCCGAAAAACCAGCTTTCTTGTATTGATTGATTTGATTACAATGGCAGATAGTTTGTAGAAACCGTGTATAACCAAGGTAAGTAATAGAATACAGCCTTCTTCTTGTTTTATGATTGCTCTACTAGGAGGCAATTGCCAGCTCAATTTCAGAGTGACCAAGATGTTGACTGGCTCTAAATCATATCAAGGCCACTATTCTATCTGATTAAATGTATAGTTGGCAAATTTTAATATGACTAATATTTTAATAGTTTCTAATCAGAAAAGGATTTGAATTTTGTTTCAGAACGTATATTAATTTTGATACTGATATACGTCAATAGAACCATAACCTCAAAAGTCAAATGAGTTCTCAGAAACTTTGTACGAACTTACAAACTACCACAATGATGTCTGTTTTCAAAATATGTTTCATTGCGGTTTCACTAAAAGTACATAAGATATCATGTGACGTAATATTCAACGATGGTTGTACATACTTTAATAAGAGGGTGTTAATAAATTATTCCTACCTTGCTCTTGCCTCCTTGGTCCGGATCCGTCGCCTTGAACGTCTCCAAACTCTTCCCGACCTCAGCATTTTCCGGCACGCTCACTTCGATGTTGGGTCTTTCAAAAATGGGCTTGTTATCGTTGATGTCCCTCAGCTTGACAACCACCCATGAGTACGCAACGTGGTACTTATCGTTGTCGTTATCTTCGCCCTTATCATTCACCTGGATGCGGAATCGGAACCCGTTGCTCTGGAGCAGGTCCTCGAAGTCCAGCGGTTGGACTATTTTGAGAGAGCCTGTGCCGTCGTTGTTACGCACCATTGTGAATTTATCGGCACCGTAGCCGCTGTTTTCGATCACCTGAAATGAAGGAATGAATGTATTATGTATTATATCCAAAATATATAGAGCAGCAAAACAACTTTCGGCTTGAGATAATCGGCAAAAAGAGCAACTGCTTCAATGTATCTTATTTATGTTGATTATAAAATGATTTCGAATATTTTATGAAGCAAACAATATTTTCGATATCTATTTTATCCCAAGGGAAATTAAATAAAATAATCTTATGCTAAAATAAACAAACAAACGATATATTGTATTCTAACGGTATACTATCCAGAAAAGGTATTTTTAAATATTAAAAAAATGATCTCAAAAATTTTATTCCAAGTTGATATTTACCAGGAAAATATACCAGGTGAGTCTCGAAATAGGCTCATCCCTATAACTTTTTTATTTTTTCAGATAAAAAACGAGGGTTGGTATGTTAGTATATGACAAATTAGAATTGATCGACGTATTCAATTGTTTTTGGTCACTTCCTGTTTAACCGGAAATGATCACAACTTTTGATTTTTAAATCGGTCGGTTTATTTCTACTTTATTCAATAGAAAATGACACTCTAAATAGAATGACATATCATAATATGTCAACTTTTGACATTTTGGCTTACAAAAAAAAATCATATTTTAAACTTCAATTTAGAGCGCCATGCCTGTGTTAAAAATATTATTTTTTTATCAAGGAGCCTTGGAAAAATAGATTTGATCATCTAGTGTTTTTTGTGTCTTGTCTTGACCGGTTAAAATATGCTCAAATTGTTTTTTAATCATTTTTTCATCAATTTTTTCAAATGGCACAAGCGTGGCTACGAAAAGCATTTTTTACGAATAATTTGGTACCATACACTTCGTATTTCAAGTCAAATTGTCGTTATGAAGCGCATGTTACAATTTCAATTAAACCATATTCGAAAATGTCAAAAGTTGACATATGATATGTCATTCTATTCAGAGTGTCATTTTTTTTATCGAATAGAGTAAAATATATTGAGGGTTCCATTTAAAAATCAAAAGTTGTAGTAATTTCCGATGAAACAGGAAGCGACCAAAAACAATTGAATACGCCAATAAATCCTTATTTATGTCATATACTAATACACTAAATATCGCTATTTATCTGAAAAAAAAATAAAAAACTGGGGTGAGCCACTTTTGAGACGCACCCGGTATTTTTTTTCAATGTAGTTGTTTTCGGCAAATAATTTTATTTACACTGGACGCGCGTTTCGCTAACCATCTTAGTATTATCAGCAGATTTTTAAAACTAACTTTAGAGAAAGATGTGATTAACAAAATACGACGATTACACTAGGGCACAACTACCACAGCAGTTGGCTACAGAAAACTCAGCAGAGAGGGAGACGAAAACAGTCAAAAAGGATCTATGATTGGCAGTAGATTTAAGGCAGTTCAGTAATCAGTTCGGCAAATCAGTAACGAATATTACAGTTATAGACAAACAGTCTTGTCTTACTTAGTAACTCAATGCACAACAAAAACGAAGTTGATTTTTTTAATCTAAACAGTTAGAAGTGGCGTAATGGCACTACATTCAGAAAATTAAACAATATAGGTAAATATCCCCATATTATATTTATCTCTTGATTACATGATATAAACTAATAGAATGTAATCTAACGATGGTCTCCTCACCTTGTACTGGAACTTGTTCGTCTCATCCTCATCGTGCACCGTCACCGTCAAAATCGGCATCTCCGGCAACGCGCTTCCATCCGTCTCGTCCACCTCCGTGAACCACTCGTCTTTCGTAAACGCCGGCGGCATATCGTTAATGTCCTTCACTCTTATACTGGCTGTCCCTGTGCCCTTTAACCCCCCACCGTCCATCGCGACCACCTGTATCGAGTAATCGGGGGTGCGTTCGCGGTCCAAACAACACACGGCCGTCTTGATCACGCCCGTTTCCGACTCGATCTCGAAGATTGGAGAACCGGTCTCTTCCTCTATTACGTTCTTCTCGATGGAGTAGACCAGTTTAGCGTTGGTGCCTGGAAAAGAAGAGAAGAATTTTAGGATTTGGTACTCTAGAAATACATCAGGGTATATCTTAAAATCACAAGCTTAACATAAATTAAAAAATTGTGTGCGCATATTTGAAGTGAAACTTCTTACTAATAGCTATTAAAAAGGATATACAGAGAAAACCAGGCTACTAGTAACATAGCAAGTTGCCGGACGAATTTACGTTTACCCAATTTGCGTTCGTACTCGAGATTCACTGCCGGCTAGTCGTCTAGTCAGGCAGTACGCAGTTGCAGTTGTGCTTGGACGGGTCAGTCGTGACAGACTAGGAATACGACGCGAGGAGTGCCGAGTATTTATTATTTTCATTTTAAGTGTTTACCTTCACTTAAGGTAACATTTAAAATAAAAATACTTAAATATTTATTATTTGAGTGTGTTTACAAGCCAAAGCTAAAATAAATAAATTCTCTAAACCCAAAAAAAAAAACTAAAATATTACTCTAAATAAAAAAAGTTATAACAAGTGTTGAAAAAGACCACCTTCTTGTGCTAGACAGAAGCCTAGGCGGTCGTAAAATCCCCGACTGACAAACATATTAGGGCTAATAATTTGGAAAGCCTCTCGTATTTTTACTTGAAGCTCATCCAGATTACTAGCCCTATTATGACCATACACTTTGGATTTTACATAACCCCAGAAAAAGAAATGATTGGTAGAAAGATCTGGTGATCTAGCGGGTCACAAAATAGTTCCATATCCACTAATTAAACGGTTAAACACTGCTTTAACTCCTGTTCTTCATTAATCAACACATCAGGCTTTTTGTGTTTTTGTGGGGACACGCACCCATGTGTTTCAAAATTAATAATAACTCTTGATATAGTAGGTAAAGATGGAATTGGCCTGTTTACAAAAGTTTGTGGAAAAATTGTTTGTATATCCCGATAAGACCTATTTTGAAAATACCATTTTACAAATTGAATTTTCTTACGAACTTCGTAAACATCCATTATTTTACTTAAAAAATAAATTTTACACGAGAACTGTCGCGAGAATATATGTATTCGTTTTGGCTATTAAAACACGAATAAATACAAATTATGAAACATTCTTATTACATATCTACCTCTTTTTATTTTATCGCATTTTTCCCCTGCTTTTTATCCGGCGGACGGGTATACGCTAATTCGTCCGGTTCTGCCTATGTTACTACTACGGTGGTCCGGTCTGTATATTTATTTATGAATGCTTTTTATAAACATGAAAAAAAATAGAGTTAGAACCGTATACTATCGTAATGTTTAATTTTTATTAAAAAATAATTCTATTACTCGATCGGATAGCTGTGGCCATTAAACCAAAACACTACAACATCTATATCTCTGACTACTACTAACTGCTACTAATCAACAATTTGTTTGTGGTCTATTTTTGTTTGAATGTTTTGTTCATTATTCATGTCGGGCATTTATTTTTAAATGAATGTTAATCGTTAGGCAACCAGTAAACTCATAGAATATGTATTTCTTTTGCATAATCAAAATTATCACTCTAAATTTTACATAACCAAATTGTCACTCATTCATTTTTTAGACAGATGTCACTTGTCTTGTCATTATTCAATTCATTAATCAAATTCTCAGAATGTTCTTAACAAAAGTTTCATCTTAAAATAAAATTTTAACCAATCACAATTATTTATCTCCATCATTTACCGGATTAATAATACAGAAATTACGGCTCAATTAAAAACAATTCATTATTTATAGTGATTTCCAGTAATTTTATTAAATTATACGAATATTCTCTTTGATTATTGGTTTGAAATAAATATGACAGTGACCTCCAATGAAAATGTGAGTTACTAACTCTAAATTCTAATTCTGAGCTGACAAATACATAAGCTAGGTGCTTTACCTAGACCGTTATTCAGAAGCTACAAACCTATCAATGAAAATATGCATGAAATCAAGGTTGGTACACTTTCAAGTTTATTTTAGTGCTTTTTTAGCCGCATATGGCACAGATCGTTACCCAGTGTTGCCACAAGCTTATTTTTCATCAGGATATATTATCATGAGATAACGGGGTTAAATTGTTTTACAAAGTCTGATCCTTTTCCTTTCAATAGCTCGCTTTTCCTTTCAATAGCTCGCGCGTCACGGCCGTCTCGCATACGTCTATCGGCCGTCACGGTCGTCTCGCGGTCGTCATTTAAGGCCGCGTGCCACAGCCTTGAATTTTTACTCCCAACGCGCGTAAAAAAGTTTCACTTCAAAAATCGACTAATTATTTCTCAGTGAAGTGAAACTACTTTGCGCGAGCTGAAAGTAAAAACTCAAGGCCGCGACACACAAGCTAGCGAGACGGCCGTGACACAGAAGCGCTAAATTTAGTCACTTTTCTCATAAAAAGATCTTCCTTCGCAGAACTATGGCTTACATATGGATTTATTTTATAAAGAAATGGTTATCGTAACATCAAAAATTACGGATAAATATAAAACGCGCATGAGATTGTAAAGGCATCCTCTTAAATCTTATTCCTAGTTAATTTTCCGCACCATCTGCTAAACGCAAATTCGCAAAAATCACCTTTTTTCGATTTTGCATGCACCTTTTGGCACAGTCAATAGATTCGCAATTCGTAATAAAATGCCTTCCAATATCCCGCGTATAAAAGTTTTCGTGCTGCTTTTGCAGTATTGAATTGCAAATTTACGGTAAATTTCGCGAGTGGGTAGTGTGCGCGAATTTGCTTGCGTTCTGACATTTTTATTAAGAACTATATTTGTCGGTGCAGCAGGGTGAACGTTTTCAATTTTCGGAAAGGTTAGGTCGGGTTTAGAAAACAATTTTTAAAACAAACGACTTTTTAACCGACAATTTGTAAGTTTAAGAATCGAAAAAATAGGAGAGTATTTGATTTATGTTTTGTGTCTATTATTTAATATTTTTTAATGCATTATATATACAGGGTGAGTATTAAATAAGTGCAAATATTTTTAAGGTTAGTGTATTTCGACAACAGAAACACGTCTATAAGGTTTTTTGGCAAAAAAATAAAATTTGGGATTTGTCCTAAAAATTTTTGGAAATATTTTTATTTTTTAGTTAAAAAACATAATTTTTTTGATAATTTGACAACAGAGGTAGTAGATTAAATTTACAAGTAAGGAAGCAAAAAACACTAAAGAGAAAATATGTTTCTCTACGATATAAACTTTTTATTAATTTAGTAAATAAAAGTATCTATTTTGAAAAACTGGCAGACATTTTAAAAATAAAAGACTATAAAAATAGACTGTAATCTTGATTTAAAATAATTTTAGATTTTTTCTTTTACACTTCTTTCAATAGTCCCTAAGTTTACTTTACTCTAGCTATTGAAGACCAAATTACGGCACCTAACTTCAGATTGAGGTCAAATTAGAGCATTGTTAAAGTTCACAGAAGTAGCAACTTCAAAAACGCCTGCTCTTTCATATAACAGCGCTTTGTAAACTCTAATGATAAAAGACAGATATAGTAATTACTAACTAAATTTCCTGTTACACTTGAAATGAATCACTCAACAACTGTAAATTTGTTATTTCCTTGTTAGTTTAATTATCTACCTAATGCAATTTGAAGACAGTTATTTAGTTTTCGAAATTACCTGAATCAAGCTTTGTATCAAGTGAAGTTGCAGGTATAGTTCTATGAAAAACGTTAATAGTAATTCAAAGTAAGTTTATTTTTGACAATTTTGTTTATAGCCCCTTATGTTTCACTCAAAAGCAGCTTACCTTAACACAAAAATACTCAGCAAAACACCTGATTTTAATTTAGATAGAACTTTTAGTTTTAGACAGTATATTATGTGATATATCAAAATATCGATCTTACCTTCGGAGGGATCGTCATAATCCACCGCAGTCATCGTCATAACGACCATTCCGGCCGTACCATTTTCAGTTACGTTTCCAAAATACACTCCCTGGGGGAAGATAGGAGCGTTATCGTTGATGTCCTTCAGGTTCACCTGTACGTCCGCGTATCCCACCAGCCCTTCTCCACCTTCATCCTGAGCAAACACAGTGAAGCGCCATTGTGGCCTGCCATTGGGCTGGTCCCGGTCCAGAGGCTGGAACAAACAAGAATATTTGAGATTAGAATCTTTATTATAGCTATAGAAAAGTAAAATGAGAGTTTCCAGAGCCGCCACTCCATTCACTCTTGAAAGCATTTTACTTTTTTCTAGAATAAGTACCCATTAATTTATGAAAAATTATGTCAATTTTTAATAACAGGGTGGTCCAAAGTGTATTCCGGAAATTTCGGCAGCATATTCTGTAGTTAAAAATAAGTAAAATAGTTCGTATAAATGTTTGTCCTAAAATGGTTAGTTTTGAATGTACAGGGTGTAGAAGTTTCATTTTTATTTTGATTTTTTCCATATAATTTCTGAAGTAACGTCAATATTTGAATGAAAATTGATATCTGGCAGTTTTTTGACATTAGAAATTTGATTTTCATGTCAATATGAGTCGTATTTGTAGGGGGCGCCACCTACATGTGTTTAAAATGTTTTGAAGAGTAATATTTTTTCGTCCGTACCTAAACTACTGAGTGAAAAAAAAAACACAATTCCGTAATTCTTTACGTAAAAAAAAAGCTACAAGAAACCGTTGTCTAGATATTTAGAATGGAAATAGTCAATACATGTCATTATTGACAAAAAATAAACATGTTGAGTTTGGGAACTTTTTATTTTTTTAAATTTGTCATAAATTTTTCGTCGAAAAAATGATGATAAAACAGCTTCAGTTCAACTTTTTGGCACAAAAACATTTCAAATATATAATTTCAGTCTAAAGTTTCATTCAGAACCCCACAATTAGTGGAATAAATTAGTGTTAGTTTCAATTACACTTTATACTTTTTAGTTGACGATCATTCACAATATTTAAAAAACACAATGAAAATTAATAGAATATCCTCGCAATAACTTGCGTTAATCAGTTGTATCCATGAAGAAAGCCTAATATTTAGCTATACAACAATCAATTTCTTTAATTTGTAATTACAATTTCACTTGACGGAAGATAATCAAAACTCAAATTAAATTTTTCGCAAATTTTGAAGTATAATTAGTGGAAAAGTTAAAAGTTTGATAACTTTTTCTACTAATTGAAAATATCTACCACTAATTTTTACCACGTTCTGAATTGAAATTAAAGGAACACACTTCTACGCTAATTGAAACTACTAATTTATTCCACTAATTGCGAGGTTCTGAATGAATCTTTTTTACGTCAAAAACGTCGTAATTGTATATTTTTTTATTTAGTAGTTTTATACAGGTACGGACAAAAAGTTGAAATTTTTGACAAATTTCTCATGTCAAAAAACTCCCAGACACCATTTTCATTCATATATTGACGTTACTTCAAAAATTATTTTGAAAAAATCAAAATCAAAATGACACCCTCTACCTCCGAAACTAAGCATTTTAGGACATACATTTATACGAACATTTTTACTTATTTTTAGTTACAGAATATGCTTCCGAAGTTTCCGGAATACAGTTCGAACCACCCTGTATAATGATTAGATATTTTTATCGATCATTATAGAAGCAATCTTGCTGGTGCAAAAAGTCTAATTGTATAGATTGTGTATATATTTATGAAAAACATTTCTTCAAAAATCTTCAATATATAAGTTTTAATTAATTCAGTAACCTGTTGAAATAAAAAATAGTCATGAAGTGATCAGCTAGAATCTATCTCTTTTGTCGGGACAATACTCGTGAAAGATTAAGTTTTAATAGCGTTTCTCTAGTACAAACATCGCAAATTGCTATTTATTTCTTCGTGTCGGTCGAAAAGCAGAAATAGAAAGAAAACAGTGGCATCCCAGATTCGATTTAAACTGAAATTCGCCACAATGTTTCCACAAACATCCGATCGACGCTTAAACCGGGATTAACTTCCCGACATTATATTCGTTTGATATTTAAGGCAAGTACTTTCCATTCCGATGGATATTTCCATTATTTTAAGCGTCTAAAATTCGAGTAGCAAGGCGAACCATGTACGAGTTGGCAAAAAAAAGCTGACGTCGTTCTGGCCGCTCCGAAATCGGATATTAGGATATCGATAACGCTTGGAAACAGCTTCTGGTTTCAAACAGGCGAACCGACACTCTTTTTAATAAACTTTATCTGTACTTTATTTCTGCATAGATGGGAAAAAAATTTACAGTAAAAAAGAATGGTAAAATGGAATAAGCTCTTATGGAACTAGTTACAGAGCAGCTAATGTATTCAAATGATGTCGCTAAGCAATGTATGTTTTCATTAATTTAATAATATGCTGTTAAAAAGTAGTTATTAACTTAAACTTACCAGCTGAAATCTACGATAATCTCGCCCTTGTGTAGGATAACTTTTATGAAAACTCGTTTCTAATAGTATTCTTTTTGTACAAAAATTACAAATTTCTAGATCTTAGTACGACTCAAAAAGTAGAAATTGGAAAAACATCAGCATCCCAGAGTCGATTTAAACTGAAATTCGCCACAATGCTTCTACAAACACCTGATCTTCCCAGAGTCGATGCGGAAACAGGAATAAATTTCCCGTCGTTAGATTTGTTCGATATTTAAGGCAAGTGCTTTCCATTCCGATGGATATTTCCATTATTTTAAGCGTTTAAAATTCAAGTAGCACATCGAGCCATGTACGAGTTGCAAAAAGAACGTAAAAAAGTTGACGTCGTGCTGGCCATTCCGAAATTGGATATTCGTATGTCGATACCGCTTGGAAACGACGCGACGCGACGCCACGTTTGATTAAAAATAAGCTGATTGACACTCTTTTTAATAAATGCTGTCTATTTTTATTATATTTCTGCATAAATGGGAATGGGAAAAGTCTTATGCAAGATGTTTCTGTTAAAAAAATGTTAGCTACTCCGATGAATATGTTTCCATTAATTCAAATATCTGTTGATGTGAACAAAAAATCATTACCTTGAAGTTTCAACTAAAATGTGCAGCAATCTATCTTTTGTGTCGGACAATATTCGTTAAAAATTACTTTATAATAGCAATCTTTTAGTACAAACACGGCAAATTGCTATTTAGATCTTCATGTCGATCCCAAAGCAGAAATAAAAAAGAATATCAACACATGAAGTTGGACAATCTTCTTAAAAAAATACTTTTTAATAGAAATCTTCCAGTACAAACACCGCAAATTTCTACTTAATCGATCGAAATGCAGAAATAAAAAAATATTGGCATCCCAGAGTCGATAAACTGAAATTCGCCACAATGCTTCTACAAACATCCGATCTTCCCAGAGTCGATGCGGAAACAGGGATAAATTTCCCGACGTTACATTCGTTCGATATTTAAGGCAAGTGCTTTCCATTCCGATGGATATTTCCATTATTTTAAGCGTTTAAAATTCAAGCAGCACGTCGAGCCATGTACGAGTTGAAAAAGAACATAAAAAAGCTGACGTCGTGCTGGCCATTCCTAAATTGGATATTCGTATGTCGATGCGGCTTGGAAAAGTTTTGCTTAAAACAAACCGACTGACACTCTTTTTAATAAATTTTCCTTCCTTTTCTTATATTTTTGTATTAATTAGAAATTATACGTCAAATGTTATTAAAATGGATAAGATAATCATAAAACCAGCTTATACAGTAATTTAGTATTTTTAATTTTGGGCAAAAAATTAAGTAATTGAGAGTATTCTTTCGACTGTACACCCCAGTATTCTCCCGACTGTATCCCGACTATACACCCTCTATAGTCGATTTGCAAACAATAGGTTATGAGAAAAAAGTTGAAATCGTTCTAATCATTTCGAAATTGGATATTCGGATGTCGATACAGTTTGGAAACTGCATTTGTGATTAAAAACAGAGAGGTGGGCGTTTTATGATAAACCTTTTCTATTAGTACATTTATTACGATCTAATTATTTAAAAAAAAAACTGATAAATCTATTTCGAAAAATGATAAAATAAAAACATATTCGAAATAGTGCAGATAAAGCTGATTTATAAATGATATAGTCGTTGATTGAAAGAATTGGGAAGATACTCAACCTAATGAGCGTATTCGTGACAAAGCTAATTTCCCCTTACGTCCTGGGCGCTGTACAGTGAAGCCTTTACTGTTCCTGCGGCTAACCAAAACACTCCATTTTTTCCAATTCGGCTAGTGAAGACATATCGAAGACGGTATGAAACTGAAAGCGACAGTGTTAAGCATATTAAAATGTAATTATATTACACGTATATTTACGTATTATATTGTAATATTTACAAACATATCTTTGATCAAAAATCCGCGTTTATGTAGTGAAAATTTATTCGTAAGTAGAAATAAAATAAAACAACAAAAATAAAAATTCTTTTCAATACCTAGAATATTTCCTGTATGATCGAAAAAGTCGTTTAATTGGCTTGGAAATGACAATTATTGACATTTACCATCATATTTTACATTTTATGAAATAAGTGATCTTCATCAAGCCAACTCTGTCGCCGTTCTTTGTTTTATCACAATATTATATTAAATTGTTTAATGATAAAAATCCTTATTACTAACGTACTGTACACAAAATCCGCAAATCTATGGATTAATCAGCAGTTCGGGCAACACTGTTCCGACAACCAATTCACTCTGTCGACTGAAAACAGAACTAAGATAGAGTATTCTTTAGAAGCGAAGGCATGCGAGAGAGTGTCTACTAACGAAGTGGTAACGTTTTCCAGATGTATACTGGCTTAATAATAATATGCTATTTCAGTCACAGTGACATTATAAAAAAATATATTTTTTTCACAAAGCTTCACAGGAAAATGAAACCGTCCTGTTCGAAATAGCCCAGACAAAGCTGATTTGTAAAATGATCTAATATGCAAATTGGCCATAGGGATACGGGCAGCAGCGTTAAATTCTTTTTGAAAATTGATTGGATCGGCGACACCAACCAACGTTCAGTTGGCAATAAATCCAAAGCGAATACCGCGTTCTGCCTCACACCCACACACGCAACCATATCTCTCCTCCTTCCGTTTCGCTAATTCGAAAATCGATAACAACAAAACCGAACTTTAC